ATAACCAGCAGTCCTCCTCCAACACCACAATACCATGCCGGCACTCTCTTCATCCTATACGTACCAGCAGCCTCAGGCAGCAGCAGCAACTCTACGCTCAACAACCTGCCATGCCTGCCTATCAAACTCAGCTCATGCAACCGCAACCTCAGCAACCCCTGCAGTTCCAGCAGCCGCAGAAGGCCCATAGAATAGATAAATCCAGCATTCTTGCGCTCTATAATTTCTCCCAGCCACCCCCTACCATCCCTGAACAACCGCAGCAGCAGCAGCAACAGCAACAGCAACAGCAACAACCTCAGCTCCCACACTTACAAACGAACACTGCATTTTCCACAAACCCATACCAGGCAAACACCAATACTAGCCCTATGGTTCTATCCGCCCCAGCAACTACAGGATCATACGCAAACCACAATCCGTTCTTCACCTCCACCAACTCAACCCCCAGCCAGCCAGCCAGCATGGTCCCTACAGCGCCATCCCAAACACAGGGCCCAGCCCATTCAGCGCCCAACAACGTGGGCTTTGCTCGAACCCACGTGAGCCAGGAATCCATTGATATCAGACAGGCACACAATGGCCGACACAGCCCCGACATTTTCGCTAGTTTAAGCGCACGGTATTAATTAACCAGTACAACCTTTCAAAACTTTATAATTTGCTTCTCACCTCCGCATTTGAGAAAAAAGGAAGAAAAGTTATACGCATTCGCGCACCTCCGTTTCAAGCATACATACATACATTGCATATATCCATACATAAAACTTTGCCGGCAACACCACAACGCATCGATATATAGCTTGTCAGCCAGCCACTATTCGATTTCGAACCAGCGTTATCCCTCTCGCCCACTGTTTCGTTTTCTCCTTCTCGGGATTCGTTTTCCCTCACTTCCTTCTCTTTTTACCTTTCCTTACCAACAGATAATGAGCCAGGAAGAAATTCTCTCTTCGATATTTATCTACCAACCGTCTTTTTCTGGGACCAGTATCCATTTTTCTCATTTCATATATTCCCCTTCACTTTTTCACCACCGCATACAGTGCAATGCATACATGGCATAGGATGGATGATTGGACCCAAGGCTTTTGTTTTTTTTCCTCACTTTATACTGGAGATATACACGACTCTCAACCTTCGCTTTTCTTCTTCTCCTCCTGTCTTCTTTGTATAGTGAATGCACCTGTGTGATTCGGCTTGTTTTTGCTTTCGTTTCCAATCTTTTGAAACCGCCATGTTCTATCTATATCCATCCGTATGCCCGCCCCGTCTTTCTATCCTATCTAATTACTCTGGAGGGTTAAACGGTTCGAGCTTCTTATTAGGTATAGATTTTGTATTAATGATATGAGCGTTTTGCCATGTTTATGACTTGCTTCGTATGCATGTGGATCCAGCTGAGACAGGCGTTCGCAAGTTACGGAGTTGAAGCTGATTAATTGGTGCGTATTAGTCTAGTTTAAAGATAAGTCTAATTGCGGGCTGTTACCGGTGGCAGCAAGGTAATGATGTAAGAAGGGCAAGACGTTTGTCTATGAGTGCATACAAGGTCAAAAGGGAAGGAAAATTTACGACCACAGGTCCCGTTGGGCATTGGAGGTCTGTCGCCGGGACATGATCCTCTGATATGCCGAGACTATATTGTCTACCATCCTGGAGAACGGTGACTTACGTTTCCGTTGCCACGGCCATTTCCACGATGACTGGCGCTGAGCCAACGACCATGGCGAGTATTTGGTGGAAGGAAACGAAAATGGGGCCGAGAATGACGAGAAGATGTTTTTCTTCTGCTTTATGTCCGGCGTCCTGTCGCTGTCGCTACTGCTCCACCATGGCCTCCACCATGACGACGATAGAGACGGTTGCGTGTTGCTACCGTCTCGCTCTCTGGCCAATACATCGATGATCCGATCGAAGCTACGCTGTTGTTGGCTCTGGGCCTTTTTATCACTTTGAGTAGTAGGTTCCGCAGTGTGGTTGGCGCGGGAACGCCAGGCACTTTGGAGTTTTGCATCGCGGCACCAGACTATCACGTCACCTTTTCGGCGTGAGTCGTCGTGCCATGCTGTGTTGAAGGTGCGGTAGCATTCGGCGTACGAAGAGGAGCGAAGGGATTGTTTGAGAGTCGGCTCGAGAGGGGAAAAGAAGATGAGGTAATCGGGCCATTCGTGCTTGGGGGTGGTAGAGGTTGATGTGAAGTGCTTGGAGAGCATACCGGTGCTGGACATCCGTTGAGAGAGGAAGTCTGAAGGGTTGTTGTAGAATAGGTCTGCTTCGTCGACGTAGGCTGCCTTTTCCTCTGGGGATAGGTTGACTGGCGGCTCGCAGCCTAGTGCCCAGGCACGGATGTGAGGGGATACAAGGTGCGAGCGCCACGGGGTGCTGTGACAGGGCATCAGGAATCCGGCTGTAAGGCCTTTTGCGGGCTCGTACTGATAGTGGGCGTCTTGCTGTTCGCGAAGGTACCCGAGTATATTGATCACACCTGAGGCGTGTATTATGGAGGCGTATATAGCGATGGTCACGTTGACTAGAACTAAGAATACCAAGAGTAATCTCCGTGGTGTGTATGACCCTGAGGCGGAAGATATTGAAGGAGTGAAGAATTGAGAGGCCGGAGCGGCCGCTAGGATGTGAAGACAGGGTAGCAATGGGTATATGAAGCGGACCTCCTTATGGGGAACAAGAGAGAGTACTGCCGGCATGGCGATGCAAGCAATGGCCAGCTGCCGTCTGACTGTGGCAGAAAGGCTGTTGGAAGAAGAAGCTCCGGGATCCATGGCCAAGGATTGAAACATGCCGATGAGGGCAAAGGGAAGGGCAGTGATGAGCAGCAGCGGGTATCCCTGAGAAAGATAATAGTGCCAGTCATTCTTGCCGTAGAAGACAGCCAGAGACTGGACGACGTTGAAGTAGAGGAACCTGAACGGCGGCAGAGTCCACGCCCCGTAGTACGTATGGTCTGCCAGCACGGAGATGGTCAGGACTGCAGACCTATCATTAAGTCAGATATGAACAAGCCGGACTTTGTTTTTACTACTTACCCGCAGATGAAGCATTCCCGGACGAGGATGAAGAGTGGTGCTAGGGATTTGGTCCATGGATGCGATCCCCAACCTTGGCGGAGAGTGGTATACGCCAGACTGACAGCCAGAGAGAACCAGATGATGGTATTAGTCGGGCGTAAGATGCACGCCAACGAGGCGAGAACCAGGCATTTCCTCAGCCTATACTGTAAGTTTACTTACTATACGTATACACTATTACCTGCGGAGAGGGAACACACCTGGTAACGTCGTCAGACAGGGGTCTCCTCGAGAGAGACCACTGCCACGGCCATAGATACAAGGCAGCGATGGTGAGACTGGTCTCCAGGCAGTTCGACAGCGTCCGCGTAGAGCAGAACCACTGCCATGGACTCAAAACGGTCAACCCAAGCTATCAACTGTTTGTCAGTCTATAACACATGTAGATACAGGAGGGATAAAGGAGGGCGAAACGAACGACCCAAGAGCTCTCTGGCCTGCCCCCGTATATCTTGCTACCCAGTCTCCACGTAAAGTAATCCCCCGCGGCGGAGATGAAGCCCTGCGCAACCTTGGGCCCTGCCACCAACAGGTCAGCCCGGCGCAGGGGCGAGAGGTGTGAGGCCGCCGCATCGACCACCCTATACACGGCCGCGAAGAGGTACGGATGTAGCGACGAGCGCAGTTGGTGCTCCCACTCCTATCGACACATCAGCCATCTCTTGTCTTCCAGCCATCTTCCCACCATCCTCCTCCTCTTCTTCTTCTTCTCTTTCTTCCCCGTCTGTCTTCCGGAGTGGGGGACGCATACCCATGTAATCCAGACGCCACTGTCCCGGCCAAAAGCAATCCTCCATGCGGGCTCCAGCGACTGGAAGTATTCGTCTGGCTGGAAGAACGTGCGGACGAGAAGAGCGTTGAGGATGCGAAAGGCCACCAGGAAGAGGAAGACGTCCGCCGTCCGCTGGTCTCGTTGCCGCAGTCTCTCCCTTCTCCCTCCTCCGTCCACCGTTGAAATGCTCCGCGCCTTTGACATCCCTCGAGAGGCGAAACCGAAAAAGCAGTTCAACCGCTTCCCACTCTTTTTTGTTTTCTCCCTCTTGGCCGAGCGGAAGACTTTTTTTCCCTGTTACTAAGAAGAAAAGCAAAGAAACGAAAAAAAAAGGAAGAAGATGTCGACGAGAGGGCGCGATGATGTCAAGGGATGGAATCCATGTGACCGTCCGCCTTACTCTTTGCGTGTCTGATTCGCCGCCGCCGCTGGCGTTTCTTTTCTTTTTCCTGCTTCTTCTTCCTCCATGGATGGAGCCGAGAGAGCAGATGGTGGAGATTGCCTGGAAGCCACCTTCACTTAACGGCATAGCGTGGGAGGATACCGTCGGAACGGGGGGGTGTGGGAGTTGAAGCCCATATTGTATATATACCGAGGGGTTGGAGGTTTTTATATCGCCCGTCACTCTCTACAACCACACGACGACGATACCCCAAAGAACGAGAAGAAGATAATAAGACACACAAGATGGCTCCAATGGCGACTCAGGTCGTCTCTGCAAGCAAGGATGTGTCGAGATACCACGCCTCGTCGACGGAGGCAGCCATCGCGGAGGAGGCACAGTACGCTGCGCACAACTACCACCCGCTGCCCGTCGTCTTTGCGCGGGCCTCTGGCACGTCAGTGTGGGATCCCGAGGGGAAGCACTATCTCGACTTCCTCTCTGCCTACTCCGCCGTCAACCAGGGGCACTGCCACCCCGAGCTCGTCAAGACCATGGTAGAGCAGGCCTCCACCCTCACCCTCAGCTCCAGGGCCTTCTACAACGACGTCTTCCCCAAGTTCGCAAAGTTCGTCACCGAGTACTTTGGCTACGACATGGTCCTGCCCATGAACACTGGTGCTGAGGCCGTCGAGACCGGTATCAAGATCGCCCGTAAATGGGGGTACAAGGTCAAGGGCATCCCTCCAAACGAGGCCATCGTCCTCAGCGTGGAGAACAACTTCCACGGCCGTACCGTGAGTCTCTCTCCTGCTGTATAGATTTCAACATAAGTGCTAATTGAAAAGTTTGCCGCCATATCCATGTCCACAGACCCCGAGTCGAGGGAGAACTATGGTCCATACCTGCCCAACATCGGCAGTACCATCCCCGGAACCGACAAACCTATCAGATACAACGACAAGCAGTCTCTCCGCCAGGCCTTCGAGGCTGCCGGCCCCAAGATTGCTGCTTTCCTCCTCGAGCCTATCCAGGGTGAGGCCGGAATCATGGTCCCTGACGAAGACTACCTACGCGAGGCCAAGGCTCTCTGTGAGAAGCACAACGCTCTCCTGATCTGTGATGAGGTCCAGACCGGCATTGCCCGTACCGGAAAGCTTCTCTGCCAGGAGTGGAGTGGTGTCAAGGCTGATCTCGTGCTCCTTGGCAAGGCCATCTCTGGCGGTATGTACCCCGTCTCTTGTGTCCTCGGACGCAAGGATGTAATGCTCACCGTCGAGCCTGGCACCCACGGCTCTACCTACGGCGGTAACCCACTCGGATGCGCCATCGCCATCCGTGCTTTGGAGATCATCCGTGACGAGAACATGGTCGAGCGTGCCGAGACTCTCGGTCAACAGTTCCGTGCTGGCCTTAAGGCCATAAACGATCCCATGATCCAGACCGTTCGTGGCAGAGGCCTGTTGAACGCCCTCGTCGTCGACGAGTCCAAGACCAACGGACACACCGCTTGGGATCTCTGCATGTTGATGAAGTCCAAGGGCCTCCTCGTAAGTCCCTGATATATTTACTCTCTTACAACGTCGTGTTCTAACGCTCTCTCTGCAGGCCAAACCAACTCATCAGAACATCATCCGGTTCGCGCCACCACTCGTCATTACCGAGGAGCAAATCAAGGAGTCCCTCAAGATCATCGGAGAAGCCATCAAGGAGCTCCCAAACTCACCCAAGTAAACACGTAACCCCAGTCAAACCTCCCTCCCTTCTCTCCCTTCCCCTCACCACCACCATACTCCGACTATCTCATATACGCTTGCATTACGTCTTCCCCCCCCAGATGAAACTAACGATTCCCCCCAAAAATATTCTCTTTTTTCAACTCGATCATATTTCTTAGCCCGAAACAGAACAGCATGTCTTGATGGCGTATTTAAACGGCTTAAAAATAGTCACTTGGGACTATAGGAAAGGGAAACGGAAGGAAAAGATAAAAAGGAGGAAGGTCCTCACTACGGCCGGCTGGCTTCTTTGTCGTCTTTTGCTTTTTATATATTATATACCCCTTACCTCGTGAGCGGATGTAGGACACGGAAGGAGAAGAGGCCTACTATCTGAGAGGAGTTGTGTAGGATCATATCACTTCATGGCGAAGGGAGTCTTCTGTTTCCGGTGTATTCTATGCCACAAGGCCACAGTGTAGTGAATTTTTTTGCTAGACTAGGGATAACCTGTATGCTTGACAGTCATGACTTGCATCTATTATAGAGTATTTCATCTAACTTGACAATTAGTTATTCGTTTATTATAGAAATACTACTTGCCGTATAACTATGCGGGTGTCCTTGATTCCGGCTTTCCTCAGAACGCGTATACTTTATATAGGGAAAGATGGAAGAATACACTATAACAAATACCCTTTGGCTTATAGTTGGATACTTGTTATACATCATAGCAGGAAGCAAAGTGCTAGTCCATGGCAACTATTCGGGGGTAAAAAAAGAAAAGAAAAAGAGAGCAAAATCATTCAAAACTGTACTGTACTCTGCTTCTTCCCCCAAGGGACAACGAGTGAACACTGACTGCAGGATGTAGGTGGATTAGAGCTTCGTTCAGCGTTCAGCTATTAGCTCGACTTCCTTGAGTTGTTCTTTTAAAGACGAATTTTGAAGATGAACCAAAACCTCGATTGACGCCTTTAGACATTGGTTAACCAGTCGACATAACTACTTTGTTCATGTCGATGATGTAACAGTCGATCTCACGATATTGCCGAACCATTAGTTACGCCTTTGATTCAGAGTGCTGGGTAAAGGCAGGTGGAATATCAAGCCAGGCTGGTTCTTGGTGTGCGGAGGTAACAGTGGCCTACGATGAAATGTTGCCGTTTACCGCCTCTGGTTAGCCGCTTTGCCCTGGAGATATAACTTATATCCTTATACGAGAACTGTACCGGAGGATCCAGGGGTCTGCCATATCCGTCTCATGGAGGAAATACCTCAGTCGTTGGTTATCGGGACAGGTCAAAGTTCGGTTAGAGAAATCTCAGCCTTTGGTACCAAGCCCTGCTTTAACTCTCGGGGAAGGCCGTTAACTGATGACTCCTTTTCACTAATAGATCTTCTCAGCTGTTGAATTTGATGATATTATCCTTGATGACTATGATCAAGGATAAAAACCTGGTTATACCATTCTTTGCTACAAGTAAAATGTCATGCCATTGACTACACGTCCATGGAGGTCAGCTGGTACCCTATAAGAGTGCTTGATACTGCCTTCTGGCAGAGTATAGCACCATACCTAGCCAATATACAGATGCGGTTGGCAACTCTTGGGCTCCTGGTGGGCTAGAATGCCTTATTATACAGGATGTTAATAGATAAACAAAGGCAATGTTCATCTATATGTCCTCCCCAGATGAAACATCAAAATATCTGATATATATATATCAATACGGGTGGCATTGTACGCCTTATCGACTCCCTAGATGTTTGGTGTCTATGGGGTATTTCTTTGTTGTCTGCCTGGTCTCTTCATTGAGGCCTTTTTCTTTGATACCCGGATAACTCTTGACGTCACTTAATGCAATCTGTTATCGTATATCCTTTGTGTCTTTTCTTCTATATCTCTCCTAAGATGATTTTCTCTTTTTTTTCCCTCTTGAGACCTTATTATGTATATATCTCAGCCGTATTCCTGCGCGGCATTCTGATACACCTGTGGTACCTACCGTATATTGTCTACTATTTCTCTACATCCGCCATAGGGGACACTACATTCAGCACTTGCTATATTCTGTCTTCTGTCTCTATTTCGTTGCCTGGTGAGAGGGACTTCTCTTGTTTACAACCGCTCCAAGGGCACGACGGGCTATAGCCTATTGATATATGCTGCGTTATATATGAACTAGCCTTTGCATTGTTTATATATACTGGCGATATCACTATGTCCCCAGCTCCTGTGGTGTATTCCCCGGTTGATGAATTACTTAAAAAATGCACAGGAAAGCAAGTCAACATCCCATTCATGCTTTCTCTGTTTCCCGGATGGCACCCGCGTATAAGTCCACATTACAAGGCGAGCCTGGAGACAGTGGATGCATGGCGTCAACGGTACGATTCAAGTCACCAAATGCTTGAATGTGTTATATATGCTTACTATGTGTATAGATGGATTGACAACTCTGTTAGCCTATCACGCAACAGGAAAGTGAACAGTTCTTTTCTCTCCAGTACCATTTTCCCTGAAGCCGCTCTCGAAGAGTTGAAGATGATGGCAATATGGAATAGCTGGGTAAGTATCCCAGGTATATTTTCAACAGATAGATCTAACAAGTTGATCTTAGCTGTTTTACTGGGACGATAGTATGAAACACCTTTCAGTACATTTTCGCCTCCCATAACTAACCTCCATTTTTTCAACGGGGAGTGTTCGATTTCGGTGAGCTGAGCAACAGGCCCGACGAGATAGAAGCAACAAGACGTGAAACAATCGACTGCGTTTGGCACATCCTAATGGATCGAAACTTCAAAGCCACCGACCTGACATCCATCGCACCGACGAGAAGGGGGGCACAGTCATTCTATGAGATCGGCATTCAAATCCGCAAGAGCGTTGGATCTGGTAAAGCTTCGACTTGAGGAATAAATCAGCACAACAGCTAACCAGTAACTATGACATGATAGAGGATACGAGGCAATTTATTACCGATATCCTATCTGACTACGTGAATGCTACTGCTGCCCTGCAATCCTCCCTCGACAGAGGTGAGGTCATGGATATTGACGAGTACATAAACACTCGGAAGCTTACGGCGGGGGTATACCCGCAGATGGCTCTCATTCCGTATGTATAAATGTTTCCAGAAAGAGGTGTGAATGCTGACCATAAATAGCTATGCCTACCGAATTGATCTTCCTGGCTGGTTTCTTGCCCACAGCCTAGTTAAAGACGTAATGGAGCAGATTGTTATCATAGTCTCATTGTACGGATTATCCCAAGCTCAACATACGGTTTCCCAAGGCTGACTTTATAGTGTTAATGATATCGTCTCTGCTCATCGTGAGATAGTAAGATAGACAGTTTCCTACCCCTTGAGAACAACTGTGACTTACCATGATCAGAAACGAGGACATGTCGATAATATCATCCCACTGCTGATTCACCACAGAGGGCTAAGTGCGCAAGAAGCGGTAAACCATGCAGTTCAAATGGTGAAGGAGGCGTACCTGACCTTTCAAGCTCTTGAACCGCTTGTTGTCCGCCTTGGAATGAACGCGGGTATTGCAAAAGAGGTCCAAAGATTCCTTGGGGGTTGCAAGGATCTAGCCATTGGTACTACAAAGTGGTCGTAAGTTTTTCCTCTCAATTCATAGCAGTAAATCCGGATACTGAACGCCAATGTCAGGTATGAAACCAGGAGATATTTTTACTATGACCAGAGTTGGGGAAATGTGAGCGTGTGTGCTGTGCTTGGGCAGTGACTATCAGTGTATCCTTTCCAATTGAGATATCTGTAGTTGACTGATTCCTTTCACTGGACTATATATCACCATTAGATTTAGGATATTTTCGCTAATAACAACCAACCAGACCAGAGTTTTGCTTTAACGGGCTTCAGCACCCCGTGCCAGACTGGGCATGCAGTGCATCATTGGGTAAAATGGCCAATAGTCAACTTTGAAGCCGAGCAGTTGAGATCTCACCTCTATCCCTTTTATAGTTCTTCCGAAGCCGTTGGGACAACAAAACCCCCTTGTCCATGCAAAGAGTTTCATCTCTCGGAGTTAAAAGGACGGAGCTACCTTTTGGCCTTCTCCAGGATATAAAAAAGAGCACCGGATGAAACTCATCCGACTCTAAACCCGAAAATAAGCTCGCTAACGGACGAAATTTGCACCAGCGACAAGATACGAATTAGTAAGCGCGAAACCGTTTTGGCCGGTTAACCGTAAAGTACTACAGGGAGAGAGAAAAAGGACGTTCTTTGTCGACTTTTGTTTGGCTAGTTGGGGGGTTTTAAAAGTGACTGGGGGGCGACCAAATGCTGACAAGAAATCTGCTTCCGAGACGGTCAGGCCTCTTTATATACGACGACGCTGGTCTCCTCGTGCATGTTAAGATGAAGGGTAGTGGTTGCACAGAATTTGCCAGCAATAATGGGAGGCTAAGAGGAGATCTAGTTAACTGATACTTGCTGGTTTATGGTACCGAGAGTGTCTCCTATAGCTAGTTACTTAGTTATGTCGCCAGCAACCGTTAGAGATGGTGGCAGCCACAGTATGACGGACGGGGAGATCGACGCCAATGCCGGGCCTGCTAGCACTCAGAGGGATTCTGGCACTGGCGGCGGCAAAGCTGTCGATGGAGATGTAGGCAAGGAAGCGGCGCAGTCAGCTTCAAAGCCCAGTCTGCGATGGTATCAAAGGCTGAACCCGATAAGACTCCAGCAAGCGCCGCCTGTGCCATCAGAGCGAACTATTTCCAAGGAATATGGAGCTGGTCTGCTGAGTATCATCACCTTCCAATGGATGCATCCTTTGATGCTGGTGAGCGTCTCTTTTTCCTTTTTCGGCTTTCCTGATATATATTGCTAGTTACTTCATGCTAATATGATATGACATGATCTAGACGGGCTACCTTCGACCACTTCAGCTGCAGGATATCTGGCTGGTGAATCCAGACCGGTCGGTCGAAGGGCTTGCTGCTAGACTTGAAGCTTCCTTTCAAAAGAGGATTGAGCGTGGAGACAAGCATCCTCTCCTGGGGGCCGGATATGAGACGTTCAAGCTCGAGATATGGATTGGCGCCTGCTGTCAGATGGTCGCTTGCGTTCTCCAGGTTCTCACGCCTTATACCACTAAATACCTGATCTCATTTGCGACAGAGGCATACATTGCCCAGCATAAGCATGTACCAGGTCCTCACATCCGGAATGGAATTGGCATCGCCATCGGCATCACATGCATGCAGATAATTCAGAGTGTAACAACGAGCCAGTTCTTCTTTCGGGGAATGATGGTTGGCGGACAGACTCGAGCAGTGCTTGTCAGCTTGATATTTTCCAAAGCAACCAGGCTCTCTGGGAGAGCCAGGGCTGGGGGGAAGGCAATCATCCCGGCCACAGAGGGAACAGCTCAACTTCAAAAAGCTCATGACAGTATTTTGAAGTCTATTTTCAGCAAGAAGAAGCATGCTGGACCAACGAATGCGGTCGATGGTGTGCTGGGCGACGGGACTGGATGGAGTAATGGCCGCATCGTCACCCTGATGAGTGTTGATACTGATCGTATCGACAAAGCTCTTGGTCTATTTCATTTGCTCTGGACATCTCCTATCATCATTATCCTTGCTCTCATCCTCCTCCTGGTGAATATTGGATACAGTGCGCTCTCAGGATATGCGCTCTTGGTCGCAGGAATCCCTTTACTCACGTATGCTATCAAATCCCTAATCAGACGACGAAGGAAGATCAACAAAATCACCGATCAACGAGTGTCGCTTACCCAGGAAATCCTCCAAGCCGTTAGATTTGTCAAGTTCTTTGGATGGGAGCAGAGCTTTTTGAAACGGCTGGACGAACTTCGGAAGAGAGAGGTGCGAGCAATCCAGGTTGTGTTGGCCATACGCAATGTTCTCCTGTGCATTGCATTATCTCTTCCCGTGTTTGCATCTATGCTATCGTTCATCACATTCTCTCTCACAAAACATCCTCTCAATCCGGCTCCAATCTTCTCCTCTCTAGCTCTATTCAATACTCTTCGTCTGCCCCTAAATATGTTACCCCTGGTTCTTGGCCAGGTAACGGACGCATGGACTGCATTGAATCGAATTCAGGACTTTCTACTAGCAGAGGAGCAAAAGGATGACATCGAACGAGACGAATCCTTGGCCAACGCACTCGAGATCAATGATGCCTCGTTTACCTGGGAACGTCTTCCTACAAGTGAAGAAGATTCTTCCAAGAAGAAGGGCTATGGAAACCGCAATGGGAAGGTGAAGAAGACAGGCAAGGATATCGAAAAAGAGAGTCCTGATGGCTCGGGTCTTCAGAGTCCTACTGAGCCATTCCAACTTACCAACCTGTCATTTACTGCCGGCCGCAACGAACTTATTGCTGTTATCGGTACAGTGGGATGTGGTAAGAGTTCCTTACTGGCCGCACTTGCAGGAGATATGCGAATGACCGGTGGCCATGCTGCCATGGGAGCTTCTCGCGCATTCTGTCCACAGTATGCTTGGATACAAAATGCGACAGTGAAGGAAAACATCCTCTTTGGCAAGGAGTACGACGAAGCTTGGTATAACAAAGTCATAGATGCCTGTGCCCTACGGGCAGATCTCAATATGTTACCCAACGGGGACCAAACAGAGATTGGTGAACGAGGCATAACAATCTCTGGAGGCCAAAAGCAGCGGTTGAATATTGCTCGTGCCATATACTTCAATAGTTCCTTGGTCCTCTTGGACGACCCTCTCTCTGCTGTTGATGCTCATGTCGGCCGTCATATCATGGATAATGCTATATGCGGCCTCTTAAAGGACAAATGCCGCATTCTCGCTACGCATCAGCTCCACGTTCTGAGCCGCTGTGATCGAATCATAGTGATGGACAACGGCCGCATTGAGGCGATAGATACGTTCGATAACCTAATGCACCATAACGATAGCTTCCAGAAACTCATGTCATCGACCATACAGGAAGAAGAACAAGATAATAGAGAAGCTGCAGAAAAGAGCAAGGAAGGCGTCGAAGTGGCTGACGATACAAAGAAGAAGAATGAAACACCGTTGAAGGCACCTAGAGCCTTAATGCAAAAAGAAGAGAGGGCCGTAAACTCTGTCAGCTGGGGAGTTTGGGGAGCCTATATAGCGAACTTCGGCTGGCCTATAAATCTGCCTATAATCGTTCTGGGATTAATTCTCGCAAATGGAGGTACGATTGTCAACGCCCTCTGGCTGTCGTACTGGGTATCCAGGAAATTTGACCTTTCCACGGGGACATATATTGGAATATATATTGCTCTGGGCGCTGCACAGGCTCTCTTCCTGTTCATATTCTCGACCACGTTGACGATAAGTGGAACGAACGCGAGCAAGGCAATGCTTTCTCGTGCTATCAATAAAGTGTTGCGAGCCCCCATGTCTTTCTTTGATACAACCCCCTTAGGCCGGATGACAAACAGGTTTTCAAAGGATATCCATACGATGGATAACGATTTAACGGATGCGATGCGTACGTTTTATTTAACATTCGGTTTAATTATTGCTGTGATCGCGCTGATCATTGTATATTTCCACTATGTAAGTTGACATCCGTCTTTCAAAATGCTGAACTGAGGAAAAGCGAATATGGGCTGACAGTTGGACGTGTAGTTTGCCATTGCCCTCATTCCACTGCTCATTATATTCCTTTTTGCAGCAAATTTCTACCGGGCATCTGCAAGAGAACTTAAACGCCATGAGGCAGTGCTTCGATCAGAAGTATTTTCTCAGTTCACGGAAGCTATATCGGGGACTGCGTCTATAAGAGCATATGGACTCCAAGACTATTTCACACGCCGGCTTCAGAGGGCTGTCGACAACATGGATAGCGCATATTTCCTCACATTTTCAAACCAGCGATGGCTAACTGTTCGGCTGGATGCTGTTGGATGGCTAATGATTTTCGTAACAAGTATATTGGTTGTTACATCGAGATTCAACGTGGATCCAAGTATATCAGGTCTTGTGCTCTCATTTATTCTTTCAATTTCCCAATTGCTGCAGTTCACTGTTCGTCAACTCGCCGAGGTAGAGAATAGCATGAACGCAACGGAAAGAATCCACTATTATGGGACACGGTTGGAAGAGGAAGCCCCATTACACTTGCGGCAGATGGATGAATCCTGGCCTCAGTCAGGCCAAATAACCTTTTCAGACGTGGAAATGAGATATCGCGCTGGTCTCCCGCTTGTTCTTCGTCGACTCAATTTGGATATTAAGGGAGGAGAACGAATCGGAATTGTAGGACGAACTGGAGCTGGTAAATCTAGTATTATGTCCGCTCTCTTCCGCTTGACTGAGCTTTCGGGGGGGTCTATTATGGTTGACGGTATTGATATTTCCACCATCGGGCTGCATGATCTGCGTAGCCGGTTGGCTATTATCCCACAGGACCCAGCCCTTTTCCGAGGGACGGTGCGATCAAACCTGGATCCTTTCAACGAACATACCGACCTCGAACTTTGGTCCGCCCTACGGCAGTCTCATCTTGTTAGCGAAGAAAAGGAGAGCTACAGCGACGTTGATAACGCTGATGAAAAGGATGATCACCCGCAACAGCAGCAACAAAGGATTCATCTGGATACTGCGGTGGAGGAGGAAGGATTGAACTTCTCCTTGGGTCAAAGGCAGCTAATGGCGCTTGCTAGAGCATTGGTGCGTGGCTCACGCATCATCGTATGCGATGAAGCCACTTCTTCAGTCGATTTTGAAACGGACCAGAAAATCCAAGAGACGATGGCGGTAGGGTTCAAGGGCAAGACGCTCCTCTGCATTGCTCATCGTCTTCGAACAATTATCAACTATGATAGAATATGTGTCATGGACCAGGGGCGTATAGCCGAAATGGATACTCCGCTCAGCCTGTGGGAAAAGAATGGAATATTCCGGGGGATGTGTGAACGAAGTGGCATTGTCAAGGGTGATTTGGCAGAGTAGTAAGAGCCTAAATCTCACATCATACGCATTGTACAACTCTGATTAATAGTTGGACACGAAGCATATATTGATCGTAATACTTTGCACATATGTTGTGAACTGTACAACCAATCTGGGCGGGGTTTTAAATGTACAGAATCGAATACACGAGTTCAAAATGAGGACAAGTTATTCTATATAGATAGCCCCTAGACACCGGTCGCCATTCCCATCATACTGGCCCGTTACGTAACCTTATAGTAAACTGTTAGTGCTATCCTCAGTGGTGCGGCCGTTATCTCGTGAGAGCATGGCATGTTCAAGGTTGACCTTGGGGCCCTTGAACCATTTTCGTGCATCAACAATCCACCAGATAATGATTCCAACCATAGGGCCTCCATATACAACACAAGTCCAGTTCATATCTGATAGCCTGAACCGTATTAACGGCATGTTAGTGTAATCTTGACCCTCAGGCTGAACGAAGAAAATAGACCATAAACTTACGTTAAGTCAGCACCGGCAACTTTCGGAAAACATACGATTGGCAGCATCAAAATGGCAAAGCATACACCAGGTATCCCTATGTAAGTGGTATATTTCCCTAAACTCCATGGCCCGGCCCGAAATCGGTCTGTGACAAACAAAACTCGAATGGCAATCGGTATCGAAAAGGCGATTAATGCCGAAATACCACCAATAGAAAATATGGCACCCATTGCAACATCACCCGCGAATATGAGGAGAGTAGCCGAAATACCCAGAGCACAGTTGAACCACACTGCGTTTACCGGGGTTTGGGTGTAGGGATTGATTTGCTTCCAAATATTGGAAAAAGGGAAGCAATCGTCACGAGAGTAAGCGTAAGTTACGCGAGAAGCAGATATCATACACGCCTGTCCCATCGAAAATCCACAGACAACAGTCCCAGCGATGATGGCAAGTGCCAACTTGGTTGGCATCACCTGAAAAACGTATGAAGCCCAAGGCTGTCCTAGCTCAGAATTTATCACCTCATCTATATCTCTCACTGTGTATGAAACCACAAGTTGGAGGAACCAGCCCATGATGCCGCCGATACCAGATGTCATTACAATTGCTCTTGGGGAAGCAATATTTGCATTGGAGCACTCTTCACTCAGGTGGAATGGAGAGTCGTATCCCGACATGATCCATATGACGCTTAGAAAGGACATGAGGACCGCAAACCAGTCGGGATAAGACGTGCGGTTGTGGATCGTCCCCCAGACGTCTGCGGACGAATTGAACCTAGGAACGTTGCTTGTTCCCGCCGGGATTGCGATGATGACAATAATCAAAAAGATGATGTTAAACGTTGACCCGTATGAGTTCAGTTCTGCAAGCCATTTTGTTGACATACTGCTTATAATTCCGTGGATTATCATGAATAGCGCTGTCAAAAGGAAAGTATGGTAAGGCTGTGGGACATATCCTGGATTCATAACTGACGCAGCTGCCAGAATCATCCCAGATATGCCATAGTTCACTGATGGCGCCGCGGTTACCTGTGCCATCCAGTTGGACCATCCAGTTATCCATGCTGCAAATGGTCCCCATCCTGCGGGGGCAAGCACTGCAGCGGCATAATAAAGCCCTCCACTGACGGAATGGCGTCAGCCGGCTTTCAGAGTGTAAAAATCTCTTAGGAAACAGTTTGGACGGAGCAGAGTGCTATACCTTGTTGGCATCGACGAGCATAACTCTGCCATAGACATGGCAACGCATTGGAGAAACATCATTGCGATTATCCATCCCCACACCATAGAAGTGCCTGCATAACCCATCCCTAGTTTTCAATTGAATTTTAGCCCACTCTCAGGCTTTTAGGATGTAACAACTATGGACATACCATAACTCATGGTACTAGCGTACGAAGGTAGCAGCCCTAGTATTGAGAAACTGACGCAGAACGTGGTCCAGAGGGAGAACTCGCGCTTAAATTCCTGTTTATACCCAAGGGAAACAAGCACGCGTTCATCATCATCCATTCCATCTTGGTTCGTGACATAGCCTTCTGGCAATACCGATGTTGTTTGAGGGCTAGAACCGGATTCGACTTCCTGAGCTTTGAAAGTCATGGCAGATATGGGCGGAGATGGCCTGTTCACCAACTTGAGAAAAGGAAGAGCAAAATACCGATGATGCTAGGACGGCCAAATGCCGCAGGTAGTTCAAATACTCAGGGTAAAGTCACATTATCCAATGCGAACTGGGGATACAGTGTGACCATCCACTCGACAGGGAGCACGCTGTTTGGAAAGCGTACTTAACCAGCTGCCACAAGTTACTCCCTCTGTATTTTGTGAGAGTAGATACCTCGTCTTGTATTAGTGTTCAGTAAGGAATAAGCAATGGGAATACGCTCCCCGGTTCCGAAGTGGTAAGACTCCATGTCGTTAGTGGTAGAGGCTACCAACAGCCCGTATCACATCCCAGGGTAATTTTTCCACGCTTTCAATACTTAGCTAGCCAGAACCACAATAATACTTATTAAATGGAACTTCTAGTTTTTGACAAAACTGAAGCCATACGAAGAAAAGTGTGGACTTGAACCTGCTCGACAGCTAGTGGTCAGTTAAATACGCGACGTGGCGATGTTAAAGAAAAAGACCAAAAAGGGGTATTGTTTATGTAATTAATCAGAACTTCTCGGAGGCTGTTGGGAGAACACGTGACCGCAGCCTCCCCATAGAGTTTTTGTAGTACCAATGTAAATACTATAGCGAACTCCAAAAATACCTAATACGATGCTAATATCGACCAACTATAATAATAATAAGGTAGCTACTATAGATCTATAGATATACTATATTAAGAAAGAAAATATTTTTTTATTATTTTTATAACTCTTAAACTACTATTGTAATGGGGAACCCGTTGCACCTCCCGGGTTAACTATTGTTCCGATAGTTAGGACGGGCGTACTTTCTTCCGGTTGGCCTCGGGCTGCCATTTGCACTCCATATATGTACATAGAACCTCTCACTACTCATCATCAATACACACATTCGGGCTTATTCTTGAGCATTGAGCAGCGGCCGCGCGAGCTCTAATGTATCACGATCCGTAGCCAATGAGAGCTCAACACCGTGCTGTCCTACGTCATACCGTTGACATGTTGGGCTGCATATCTGATGTTGATGTTGATATACCCATTTCATCACCCATCTCGACGAGCTATATCTATATGATATGGCGACACCATTTACACCACCTCACTATAACTATCTATTAAACTATTGTCATACCACGCAGCATGCGCCCACCAAGCCCACGTCACGTGGCATTCCAACATCAAGCATATAAGTAGTGCAGCGACCAGAGATGACGAGCGTCATCACTGTGTATGATCTTTTGGTCGAATGGCATATGCTGTATCATCGCTGCCGGCATATACGGCCATTACAACTATAATAATCGCTAGTCTATTCTATTATTTTAATTTATTTTACTCTATTTTACTTACCCTCTCTATTTACTCGTAGCTATCTAATACACCGTGATATTCCTTCTATATCAACGTTAAAATTCAGCTCAGTTTCTCTGAAGAGGAAAACTCGACCAGTCATCTATCCCTTCTGCGTCAGGCCAAAGGCTTCTCCAAACATGTTTATAAAATCGAGTCTGCTCGTCATCCCGTTCCATCTCCCAACTAAGGTCCTCTCCAGTTTGTATCCTTTGAGCCTCTCCCATCTCTGTTAGCATAATATCCTCGGTGTAGTCATCCTTTTGGCCTATCTCGCAAATCCAGTGTCGCCCAAACCAGCATATAATATCCTCAAGATCCATATAATCATTTCTTTGACCAAATTCACCCCCTCCCATGGGCATCAATTTAAGGTATTGAAATAACGAGCCCTTGGTAGAATGTATTGTGCGGAAGATAGAAAGGGCCAGAGACGAGTCAAACGCAGTGTTTATAAGGACTATGCGGAAGTCTTTCGAGGAGATAGTTATCCCGTTATCTAGGTATATTGTTTGTCCATCATCAAGGTCATTTATATCCGAAAGATTATTCCTCTTGAAGGCAAGAGAGGAGCAATCAAGTACCAAACAGGCTTGCTCTAGCCTCGCCATGCTTCCTAGAGCGCGGTAGATATCAACTTCATGACTATCGCCTCTGGTACGTGGTATAAGCAACTCCACCTCCTTGAGGTTTGGGCACTGCTGTCGAATCTCCTGCATGCGGTGACATGAGATAAAGAATGTATCTGCTTCTCCCCGGTTTGGTATAAATCGAAGCTTGAGTAATGTATTGCCGTGCCTATGTAGAAGGGTGTTGAAAGTACTGGCCCCGATGTCTCCATTTAACCCCAGGTTCTCAAGGGGAGGCAAGTTCTGTAGAAATATACTTGTAGCCTCATCTATATCGTCATCCCCATCGGTGACCGATACTACTAGATCTAAGGTATGGAGGCAATTAAATCTCCCCTCTCTAGCCATTTGGGTCAGAGTCTGAAGCTCTTCAGCGGAGGAACAATCTTGTAGCCGAAGTTCTTGTAACTTAGAGAATTCTGTACAATTACTCCACATAATAAGCTCACTGGAAGAGACTAGACCAGCCCCGAGGGTTAGGCTTTGAAGGCAGCCGATAGAATGCTTAATAGACGCGCTGATATTGTTTGGCTGATTTAAAAAGAAGCCTGGCCAAGCTGGTCTTGGGGTGCTTATTGCACTCCTAAGATTTAGTGAATCCCCTGGATAGTGATGCCACATCCGCACATGCTTCAAATTAGGCGCTAGCCCAATCACCATCTGTAATATTGCATCCTTATTGTAGGCTACCCTCCCTTCGCTATCGTAGTGATAGTATTGTGCGGCAATACTATATAAGCACGGAGATGTAGCAAGAGCGTACTCATCCAGGCTGATATCATGAAGATTAGACTTGAACTGGTATAGGCTGCGGAGGCTGAAGGTATCCATGTGGAGGCGACAGTTTGGGCGATACTGGTGTACTATTGAGAGTATACAGAGTGGAATTTGGTCGATGGAGGCGTATATTAGATCTCTAAGTCCTGAGAGACCTTGGATAAACCGGGCGAGTGGTAGCATGGCTTCATTCTGCTCTTCTGTCAAACACGGGCTGCCTGCATAGAATGGAGTGAGGGTCGTCCTAGGATCAAAGTCATATCCATAGTATGGGTCTAGTTCATCCTCTCCCTTTAAACTGTTCGTTTGAGCTTCGCTTTGCTCTGTTGGTGCGCAGCCCATCACCTTGAGGCGGCGCACGTAGCTAGAGCGGCCTCCGACTGCGAGGATGTCGTGCCATCGCTCTAGATCGCGACGCAGCGTCTCTCTGCTTTTCACCGTGAGTTCGATGCTGTTGAACCGATGTCTCATCGTTGCAGCGTAGCAGAGCTTGCTCACCAACGCGAATGCGCGCAGGCTGCGTGTGTTGAGGCATTCACAGACTAAGTCAAGGACATCAAGTCCCAAGATCTCCAGGGAGACGGTCATGGCTTCTTTTGCTTTGGATAAGGGGGTTAATATGAAGTCTTTCACGTCGAAGGAGATGCAGTTGTTAAGTTCTGGAAAGTCGACAAGAGGCGCCGGGTTGGTGGTTAATGACCCTTTATACCTTGCTCTGCCTTTACTTCAGGGGTTGGTTGGCCTCCTGTTGATATTACGAGAAGGTAACTCCGCCTCCAAACGAATTAGGCACTTAAGCGTTACTTTTGGGAGATGATACAATATAACTACGGTCTAACCACGGAATTAATATAGTTAGATAACGTAGTTTATATAATAATCCATCTAGGGTACCATATCCTTCCAAACTCTTAGAATAACATCTTGTGCTTGAATGAGACTTCATAGAAAAGCCGCCAGGCCCTCTGCCCATTCCCGTCGCTGTCCGGATCATATTGAAACAAAGCCATGCCCCGGTTTGATATGTTTACCAAAGCCAAGTCTGCGAGGTCGTTGTAATTCAAGGCTATGTACTTGTAAGTAACATCTTTGGGTGCTACTCCAATATGCCTCTCGATTGCCTTCCTGATTTCAGCTAGACGCTTAGGCCTATGGTCGAGTCAGTAGGTCTAATCTTTAAGGAGAGAGGGGTGCAAAGAAGAGGAGTAATACCATCGATGTAAAACGGATGCTGCTCCGAAGGTAGCAAGGAGGAGAAGCAGGATCAGTCGATAAAATGATAAAATCGACGCCATATTTCCTTAACGAGGTGGGTATCTTGTTACTGCAATCCGATACTGAAAGGGAGGGCTCTTTAAGAACAAGAGTGCCAAAATTAAATAAACTGGAAATGCCACCTTGATATTGACCCCTGGAAGGCTGGGGACGGGTTTGGATGCTCCTCTGCATCCCCGAAAAGCGCACATATTAACCGCTCAGCTATTGACCGTGGATCCCCGATTGGTTATCTGTGCCTCTGGCAGCGAGGGCGGACTTTTGAATGTAACCGTGATCCAAGGATAACATAATAGAGAGCAGTTGATATCCAAATATTCCACGAAAGGAAGGTGAGGGCGCAGTAACAGGCCTATGTTCCCTGGGGTCCTACATATCAAGGGCCTTGCAAAACCCCAAGTAAAGCTTCAAATCCACGGATATTTCGCGCTTTGCATGTATAACCTATGCGGCTCGCCCTCACCACTCCGAATGACCCCAGTCTAGCACATATTGGAGTCAAGGCCCTGCGGTTTGCATGGATATAGATTGATAATTTCTCGGGGGCAGCGTGTTGTAGCCGGCCTTGACCAAGATAGTCAATATTCCTGTAGCAGGCCAGGGGTTTCAATGATGCAACCCAGCCATGGTCACTGTCTTGCTAGATATGGCATGAGTATGAGCAGGAGGCGGCCATAGTCCTTAAGTTGAGCTTCACGCCCCGGTGGACGAGGTCGATGAGATTCCGCAAACGCGCAAAATAATCACAATGACACTACTCCTCGGACTGTTCAGTGGCAGAGGAGAGCCTCGATCTCCTTTTTCCGCCTTGCTCATGCTGGCTTCTGTCCTGTCTCTCCTGCTTGGGCTTGTTCACGCGCGAGACACAGCACCGTACGATCCATACTCTATCTCCTCTCGCTGCCCGTTGCCGTGTGACGACGATGGCAGCAACTAGGCTCACTACCACGATATCCGTGAGCTCAGTGCCGGCAACCAGACCGTCATCTTCGACCTGAACCTGTACAACCGAGTCGACGGCCCAGCGCCACAAGTGACGTTGCGGGCCTGTGGTGTACCAAGCTCTCCCCCAGCCCTGAAGCGACGCCAGCTATTCTTATTCTCTCCAAACTCCTCCACGAAGACGACCGGCGTTCAGCTTCTCTGGCGCACCGGCGAGGCAGCGGATGATGCATCTTCTGCGCTTGGTGCGGCTGCTGTAGCGCTGGCTGACCGGATACGAGCCCATCCCAGCAACGGCGCGACAATCCTATTCGCCAAGAAGGGACAGACCATCCTGGGGGTTTATGCAGGGCCGCAGCTCGAGAAGAAGAGTGTGAGCGACGTCGTCCAGTTGTTCTCGAACAAGGCGAGAGGGAAAAAGGAGGTCAAGCAGGTTGCGGTGCAGGCCTGCAACGAGGACTCGCTGAGATACTCGGCCTCTTCGCGGACACGACAGACAATCTCTCGTCGGTGCAGGATGCGCTGCGACGCTGGAACGACGCTGAATGTCTCGACAGCGCCTCATGGGACGAGAAGTAAGCATGGAGAGAGGCCTCAGTCACTATACTACCCGGCCAGGATATCACCGTCGGGCTAGGGGACGCTGCTGAGCAACATATCGAACAAGCAGATACATGCAGCTACACCCAGGCGGTCGCTGGTGATGGCTGCTACGCGCTCGCCAGCTGGTGCAAGGTCACCCAGGAGAAGCTGGTCGAGTATAACGGCAACCCGAAGCTGTGCGAGACGCTCGTTGTCGGTCAATATGTCTGCTGCTCGCCTGGAAAGCTGCCTGACTTCTCGCCGCAGCCAAACCAGGCTCCAACGGCTGTATCTCAAGTTGCGGCATAGCTACTGTGAACAATCACGACAAGCCTGCGAACTTCATGCGCGTAGGTTATTTCGAGGCGTGGAACAAGGATAGGCCGTGTCTTCATATGCTGGTAAGTCGCTATATTTCCCCCTTCCTACGACCTGAACTGACTCTTGCACCTCGTAGCCCCGTCAGATAGATAGTAGCCACTATACTCACATAGTAAGTACTTTTTTTTTGTTAACCGTCCCTTTCCATATTGATATCTAGCTAACAAATACTACTACAGCGTTTCGCCTTCGGAGATGTTACCAAGGAGTTTAAGGTGGACATTAGCAAGCTCCAAGATATGTTTGACGAATTTAAGAAAATGAAATCAGCCAAACGAATCTTGTCCTTTGGAGGATGGTCATTCTCGACGGTACATGATACATTCCCTATCTTCCGAGAAGGTTGTAACCCCTGAACAGAGGAAGCTTTTTGCTGATATCGTTGTCAAGGTATATTATACTTATCCCCCTCTACTTAGTTCTTGAGCTTATCGGTTGCTGATATCATGTGTGCTTAGTTCATCGTCGACCAAGGCCTTGACGGTGTCGATTTTGACCAAAGGAGGCAAAGATGATGATGACGATAAGGATCAGACTATCTGGTTAACATCAAGTGTCACTTTCCCTCCAGTCACGCTCACACAGACCTCGACATCAGGTATTACCCGGCCACTCATTACATGGACGTACAGCCCCGGACCCTATCCTTCGCCGGCAGTGAGAGCTCCTGATAATCCAAATATACCAAAGGACCCGAAAGATCCTGATCCAACACCAACTCCTACTCCCACACCACCGCCACCGCATGGCTTCCCACCTAATGTTAGAGTTACCTCTGGTACTCCAAAACCGACCTGCAGACCCGGTCAGATGTGTGGACAAAAGTGTCAGATTAACTGCAACCCGCCAGATAGCGGATGTCTCGGGCTGTATAGGGCCATTCTGCCCCGACGGGAGAAGCTGTGTAGGGCCTGGGTGCTCTGCTGCTATCAGCGGAGGAGGGGGAGGGGACGGGGATCCTACGAGCTGCCGAACGAGTTCCACCGCCTCCTTTTGCGAGGTTGATTGCACTGTTCTTAACTTACCCATGACGACTTCAACTATGTAGAGGTAAAGAGTGCTCAAGGACAATCACTGGCTGTGATGCCACTGGTAGCACTACAACGAGTACAACGACTGTGACGTGCCCTTCACCTGCTGCAGCTCCCCACTGGAATCCAAACGACCAGATTCCTATACTAGGGGATGGGGGCTTCGGAGGAGATGTAATCACCACAGGAGACTTCCCAAAAGTGCCTCGTCCAACAACTACCAAAGACACGACGACGACCGAGAAACCCCCAACAACAACAACTGATAAACCCGACCCTCCCCCGTTTCCCTCACTCCCGCTTCCAACATATCCGTCTGATCCCGAATTTTACTGCTTCCGCAAGCACAATGACGATAAGCGATACAAGGTCTTCCCCTATCACGATAGCCTCAATGTAATCCACACTCTCTGTTCTTTTATGAAGACCCTTCCAAAGGAATCTAAACATAGATTCAGCGCCCGGGGCGACAACGATCTCCGCGCCTACGTCGCCTGGGCTGAAGACCAAAGTGGCTGTAACCCACAAACCGCGGTGCCGTTAGATGACTTTTGTGTTCAAAACCTGTCGCATATATTGGTAGCGTGCGATGATCAGACGGTCGAGGACAGATATGGCGGAGCATTTATCCTTAATGGTCATGAGGGATGCGTTACATGGTGGGTCGGCGCAGACTCTACGCTTCCAAAGGCGCGACAGCAGATAGGGAATCCAAATGGCCCTTCGCAGTCAGAACAGAAAGTGCTGCATGATAAAATTGCTGCTTTAGAGCCAGAGCTGCCGAGGGTGAAAATGGAGGCTACACAGAGTAGCACCGCTCATGGGGCTATCATGCCGAACTAATCGATCCTGGAGCTTGACCGTTTGGCCTTGCTCTGCCTCCAAATTGAGTCGTGATGGAGTTAATACCTACAGGGCTGGTTGCCAGCTGGTTGGCCAGGTCTGATCTAGTTGAAGATCGGTGCCCTAATAATGTGACTATTGACTATTACTAGAAACGCATGTATCGCATCTAATAATGCATTTAATCTAACCTATCTATCCTTATATATTCATTTATTAATATTTTGGTAGAAGTAATAAATTAATGCCACGCAGCATGCGCCCACCAAGCCTACTACTATCACGTGGCACCCAAAGCATATAAGCAGTGCAGCGACCAGTGATGAAGAGCGTCATCACTGTGTATGATCCTTTGGTCGAGTGGTATGTATATGCTGTACCATCGCTGCCAGCATACTGCTATCACAGGAACAATGTTTGAATTTCAGCAGCATGGCTTAACTATGTGTTTGTGAGTTGAAAGGAGAAAAGCAACCTGTGATACTAGCTTGGAGACATTCGCTCAGCCTGCTCTGACTGCGACTCAGCGCTATGGTCAGTCAGGACGGGAGTCGTCCTCCCTCTAAAAGACTGAAAACCGCTGGAGACAGATATCAATCCAACAATGTTGATTCCACTGCTAGGAGCCTTCGGTCTTTGGATAGGTCTATAACTCCACCGTTATGCAGGAATAAATGGACTCGGGAGATAGTCCGTGAGAAGCCAGCGCTGCAGGACGGCGACTCGCCCTCTAAAGCAAGGATAATTCCATCTCCGATCCAGCTCACTCATGTTCGTGATATCCCGGATTCAACGGGATATAACAAAGACTGCATCAGGCTTCGAGATATCCTTGGAGACCCAATGATCAAGGAGTGCTGGCAGTTCAATTTCCTTTTTGATGTTGACTATATAATGGGCCAATTTGACCGTGACGTGAAGGACCTTGTCCAGCTGAAGATAGTACATGGTTCTTGGAAGAAAGAGGCCCCTAACAAGATTGCTATCGATGTAAGCCAGTACCTTTAAAGGCTTAACTCCGTTCTGCTCCCTAAAAATACGGCTGTAGCTTACTTGGGGATAGGATGCATGTAAGCGATATCCAAACGTCGAGGCAATCGTGGCTTATATGCCTGAGCTCTTTGGTACTCACCATTCCAAAATGATGGTCTTAGTACGACATGATGATCTGACACAGTAAGGTGCATCCTAGTACCATACCTAGCCGAGTCGACGCGCTGAAGCATGGGTCTTTGCAGGATCATAATACACACAGCGAATATGATACCTCGAGACTGGGGGAATATGACCCAAGCAGTATGGAGGTCTCCGTTGCTCCCACTTTCACAGTTTAAGATGGCTGATAGCCGTGGAGATATTGGAAGTGGCGCCCGTTTTAAAAGAGATTTACTCGCCTATCTAAACGCATATAACAATAAAAAGATTGACATGCTCATTGACCAACTGCAGAGGTATGACTTTGGAGAAGTGAAAGCTGCACTAATTTCTAGTGTTCCGTCTAGACAGCCAGCTAGAGAACTTGACTCCGGCAAACGAACACTTTGGGGATGGCCAGCACTCAAGGATGCAATAAGCTCTATTCCTATAAGGGGCAACTCATCACAGAGACTGGAGCCTCAGGTTGTTGTTCAGGTGAGTTGATCTAGGATATTGTGATTTTGTTCTGAATCTTAACATAAATAGGTATCGTCTATAGCCACACTTGGGCAGACGGATAAATGGTTAAAAGAAACTTTCTTCAGCTCATTATGCCCTCAATCTAGAGCCAGTGATACCTCAAACATTTCCTCTACGAAGTTTTCCATCATCTTTCCCACACCAGACGAAATAAGAAGGTCGCTAGACGGATATGCGTCTGGGGGATCGATCCATATGAAAATTCAAAGTGCAGCACAACAAAAACAATTACAGTATCTGCGTCGCTATTTGTGTCGCTGGGCAGGGGATGCTGCAGGCCAAAGAGACACGAACCCTGCCACTCAGCCTGATAAGGGCTCGAGTATAGTACGTGAAGCTGGTAGGAAGAGAGCTGCGCCTCACATCAAGACATACATCCGGTTTTCCGATTCAGGCATGACCAGCATTGACTGGGCAATGGTTACCTCCGCAAACCTATCCACTCAAGCATGGGGAGCTGGGGCTAACACTCAGGGTGAGGTGAGAATATGTAGCTGGGAGATAGGGGTGTTGGTATGGCCGGATCTTTTCCGTGAGAGAATGACTAGCAAAGACAAGGACAGCTCAACCATTCATCCTGTGAAGATGATCCCTTGCTTCAAATGCGATACTCCGTCTGAGAAGTCATTACTATGTGAGAGTGACTCCACAAATTCTACCTCACATTCAGGCGCCACGAATATGACTAGGATTGGACTGCGCATGCCGTACAACCTTCCACTTGTTCCGTATACCCATCAAGATGTGCCGTGGTGTGCCACAGCTGTTCACCGGGAGCCCGATTGGTTGGGTCAGACCTGGGAAGAGAGCGATTAATTATATAGTTAAAACCCCGCACATTACTTAAGTATATATTTATTATATCCCTGTTGACATCGGAATCATACATGCATTCCGGCCCTCGCAGGCGAAGGGAGTGGAGAAGGGGGGGACAGAGCGCAGGTAGAGGACATCTATTCTATTTCCTATTTGAATACTGGATTCTAATGGATTTACGCAGAGTAGTAACCCTTTGCAATTAAAGAGAAGGACACGAAGATGCAAAAAGCAAACAATTGTATCCGGAAAACAACGCCTTTGCCATCGGTTTTTTGCACGCGGCAGTCAACATGATATCATGTCCAATTTATGAATGTATGTACCCAGCGTTAATTTCATTTTACATGTCCTGTTCCTGCCTCATCTTTGCTCTGAACTCCTTTACGTATGCTGTTGTTCTATTGAGCACCAATTGGCTCTGGTACCTTGGATTCATCATAACCGTATTTCGCCTTTAATTTCTCGACAAGCTCAACATATTTCTCTTGTGCTTGCTCCGGAGAAATTCCTTCATCGACGATTTCCTTCCACTTGCCGTGTTTGTATTTTCCCTATCGGCAAAGACAAGCAAAGGATTAGCTTATATCTCGTAAATATATCAACGTAAGTGTACAATACCTTGAAGTCGAACATTCCCGGAGCGGGAGCCTGGTCAAATGGAGGGTCTTGTTTTCCTTGCTTGAACAGAGCATAGAGCTACCAATATAAAGGATTAGCAACCTGTTATAAGCTACAATATCCTAAAGAGCCACTGCCTAGTGGGTTGGGGAATAGAAGGGGGGCAGGGAAACAACATACTGTCAAGAGCTCATCATCGGTTGGTTTTGCGAGGAGTTTTCGGCTGGCTTCAGCAGCGGCTAAGAATTCTGAAGACATGGCTTATGGAGCTTTCTCTTGTTCTGCTCGTATGGTGAATCTAGGAGTCGCGAATTTGTAGTCGGCCTGGTGAGATATTGGTTGAAATGAGGGGTATTCTTCGTTTCCCTGCTGGAAGTCGTGTCAATTAGATGATCTATTCAGTATTAAGGACAGACAACAAGCTCTCCCTCTAGCTGACAGGGCTGACTTACTCGCTTATCACACGGTTCTTCAGTTGTTGTTCGTCTTTCTCTTCTTCGTCGTCTTTGGTGGGAGGAGGGGCTTGCTTTTATTTATAGATGGGAAGTTCTTGATCACGGGGATCGTGGCCCTAGCGCAGGTCGTTGGCCTGGGATGTTGAAGTACTTTGAGATACTTCTTTAGCCAGCAAAATACTACGGCAAAAGGAGTATCTGGAAGTACTCCGTGATACTACCATTGCGTCATGGCCACAGGGATAAAAAGCCCGGGAACACGGTGGCCTCAGGTCCAACGGACAGGACATGACGGCTTAGAAGCTTGCGAACAGGAACGCAGCGCCGTTGGCTGTGTGGTATTTCACTCTATTCTAGACACGGGGAGCGAGTGAGCGCTGAGGAATGCGTAACTATAGTGAGTCTAATATATGGGCGGGGAACTGTGTACCGAGTTTCAAGATATGCGCTAAACCAAGACTCCAACGAAAATATGCAATGCAATCATCATAGAAGAAACCAGCAAGGTCTATGAAGAAAACGTAACCAGGGGATAAAATATGGGAAAGCGAAAAAAAAAGAAAAGAGTGAACTTCGTTAAGATGACGTCTGACTGCTTACCAGTCGACGGCCCATCCGTTCTTCTCTAGAAAGTCTTCACACGCTGCTTTGAGAGCATAGTTTGGTCGGAGGTCACTAGCGGTCATCGGTACGCGAGTAATGGGGTCGACTTCAGACTGCTGCATATGTTTCAAGATACTGGTTCTCTCAAACGAGTGGCCGGACGGGGTGACCACAGGATCATGCATGACTTCGAAGGTGATGTTGTCGATCAGGTGCTCAGGCATATGCTGTAGACAAGGATCAGTTAGTGACAACCCCAGATCGCGGTAAAATACCAGGTATATGCATAGACACTATGCATATAGCATGTAGGGAAGGGAAGGGAAACAAAAGTAAATCCAAGAAGATGTTTAAGAAGAACATACTCTTTCCTGAAGCTCAGGGTCCACCGAGGCAAATGCTTCTCGCACATTGTTCAGCTTTTTAGCATACTCTTCCTCCAACAACTTCTTGTCTTCCTCGAATCCCACTTTGCCCATCTCTCCTTTCTGAAAAGCTTCATGCAAAGTGGCAATCTCAGCTTTCAACTCCGCCTCCATCAGCGTCTCTACCTGCTTCAAAGTCTCGTTACGTTCTCTTAGGCGCGCCGTTTCTTTCGCTGCCCAAATGCTCTGCTTTGCGCGAAGTATGATTCTCGACAGAGGTTCTGAGTTGGGGTTCTTTGTCTCTAAACTACTCTTGTATGCGGCAAGGGCGATTTCGAGAGCCTCTGCAGGTCGCTGTAGTCCCAGCAGTGCTTGTGAGAGATAATAGTTAGACTTGACGGCTGCTTGGTTCTTGGGGCCGTAGAGATCTACGGCGATTCGCGAGTCATGCTCTGCTCCTTCCCATAATCCAAGCTTTATTCGGACGAGGGCGCGGTTGTTAAAGAAGGCCGGATCATTGGAATTTTTCTGGATACTGTGTTAAAACGGTAGGCCGATTAGCACCGGTATATAAAACCTATGTGCGCGCACAATACACATATATAAACTAATAACAAAGGAGACATCTTACGCCTGTGAGTATAATTCCTCCGCGCCCTCATAGTCTCCCTCCTTGTACCGTTCGTTGCCCCTCGCCTTCAGCTCATAAGCCATAGTCAATCACTTGAGCTATCCCGGTCGCCCGCTCCCAAGGATGATGTATATCAGAAATGGGAAACAAATTTAAATGCCAGTTTCTCCGTATCCACGAGGGGTGTTTGTGTCGTAATAAAAATGTCCGCTAGATAGGGTGAGTTATGTAGGTGATAGTTTCAAGTCAATATAGCCATATTATAATGGCACTAGAGGTAAATTAGGGAGTGAAGGAAGAAATGAAAGAGAGTGAGAGTCACTGAAAACCCCAGGAAGGTTGTATCCTCGTCAGACGGCGAAGCACCCATCCTCTGCCTGTCACAACTGTCTTTTACCTCTTTTGGACCTTGGGAGAAACAGGTGGAAAGGTTGATTAGTCATAACGGGCGTACTTTATCCCGCTGCCGAGGTTAACGGAGATAAAATGGATGAATACTTAATGCCGATGGTATATAAGGAGAGGGAGGTGCATTTATTACAACTAATACTATTATATATAACTCCAGCCTAAGATAGGGGTATGAGGATAAATTTGGGGCATATCAACCCTCAAAAGCCAACCGATCCAGCCGGGTATCTATTAGGATCGGCTCAGGCTGCCCCTTTATCTATACCGTCACTTGATATTGACCGGAGTAAGTGAGATGATGGGCCCTTTCCACGGCCTTCTTGCTCTTCTGCGCAGGATAACGCCTTTGAGGAGCTTGAAAGTCCCACTGGTACATGGCCTGCTGCAGCCAGCCAGTCTTGAGTTGAGGCACTCTGCAACCCGCGGCTTTGGGGGTGCTCTAAGCCAACTGCAACTCGGCCAACACTTGTATCGTTCAATAGCTTCTTCAGATGTGTAAATGGGTGTCCCTCAGCTATCCCCATAACAAAACTTGAGAACAGTAGTAACAGCCACAAGGCGAGGAATAGAATTGCAGGAATAGCGAATCGCAAGTCGTATGTCACCTTCCGCTCCTGGACTCTTACGTTTCGTGTGAATACCGCGCCCTCTGTTGTGCCGTCCCCCATTAATACACTTCCTCGCATATTAGTGCCGACAGTATTACTAGCCATAATGTCCGTCCAAATAAGACGGAGAAGCTTTGAAATATCTTCTGCTGAGTTGGATAGTTCACGCCACTTGTTCCCAAGAGCAACGTTACTTGCTCCCGAGTACGTGACATAGTCGTCATTGAGGCGGCTGAAAAAGTCGTTGGATAGCAATTTTCCTATAACCCCGTACGGCAAAGACGCTCCTGCAAGATTATCCCGGGGACCACCAATGGAAGACAATGTGAGAGTGTAATAAGTGTAAGGTAGGTAAAATGAGGGAGCTCGGGTAAAGTTATAGCCAGGTGTGTTTTCATATGAATCATCAACAATGCCCCAAAGCGGCGCTGCGAAGGCGCCTTCAGACCCCGGGTGCCACCAATCTTCCAATGCCCAAAGTGGGTAGTTGTCTGGACTGGCATACTTCTTATCTTCAATTTTCTTCACGGATAGCGATTCCAAGGACGCGGTTCCATTCATAACGAAGGAGACAGTCTTAACTGAAGACTTAGCAGCAGCAGCGCAGGTGTATATAGGTTTCGACCATTTCGACCCGACCTCCTTGAATAGGGGATTTCCCCCATCTACCCTCGACGCTGCTCCAAAAAAGTACCCACACTCAACGTTGAAGTCATTTTGCAGCGATGCTTCATTGTATTGACCAGTACACCTTCCCTTGAGCTCAGTGAAGAGTCCAATACCATACCAATAAAGGCCATCCTCGGGTTTTTGAATAGTATGGTTGCCCACGGTCAAGGTTCCATTCTTGTTGAACGGCATGCTTGGTAGATTCAACCAGCCGCCATTGGGAGACATAGCCTCTATGTCTAGCGACAGGAAATATGGTACACTACCAGCAATTGGGTAGTGCTTTCCACGGGTGACATTAAAACCATATCCCACCGCGTCGGCATCACCATCTGTGAGGTTGTACGTAATACCGGCGAGGAAATTGCTCAGCCAAGCTGATCGATCCGCCCGGAGTTGAGTATTTGGGTGTGCATACGTGATATTTGGCCAGCCATTGTACGGATTACCGTGCCGCAAGTTGGAAAATCCGCCTTCATCCACCAATTCGATTGACCGAATCGGCGTTGAAAAGGTTCCGTTTAGGGTATCGGCCAAAGTCAACTCGTATGTGAGGTTGGTATTAACGCACGAAATTTCTGGCTCAACCCATAAAATGTCCTCATCCCACTCAGCTCCATAAGGAAGCCCAGACGGCACACTGTGGTTCCGGAAGCCAATACCACCAGATCGCATATCCGTAATGAGACCTTCAACTAGGGTTATATCGTCTTTTGAGATAAGAGAATCGAGAGGCAGTAATTGGCCTCGAGGGTACGGCTTGTGGTCATCGAAATATTCAGAAGAATATGGTAGCCAAAACCGGTATTGAATATCTAGTATACCCGCTATACTCGATTTTTTTGAGGCACTAGAAAACATGGTGGTGATATTCTTGGGAATATTCGTGGTGGCGGTAATTTTGGGGTTTGCGGACTTGTTGCCCTGCCCTTGGTCGATGACAGCCCCGGGAACGAAGGCGCCGGGGCAGTAAGCAGAGGTGATAATGCAATCCCGAGACAAGGGCATATCCGGACGGCTTATAGTATTCTTGCCAAAGCTAGACAGATCAGGGGCGTAATGAAAGCTCACGTCACGACTCGACGCCGGGCGGATTTGATCGCTGAGTCCCAATGGTGTTACTACACCGGATATAACACCAAGCATTGCCAGGCCTATATTTATATAGGCTACGACGGAAACACCCCAATAAACATGTCTTCCCGCAACAGAATCTGTTCGAAGTATAGTTGGCCATGTCGTTGAATGTAGCTGACGGGCAAGAACAGACCTGGCGCAATCATTTGTAAGGATAGGTTTATACGGAAGACACTTATGTTGCCGCCAAAAAGTTCAATGATCTAACGCTTACCAGGTTGCTGCAGACAGTCTATCGCTAAGATGATAAACCAGCACAATGGCTAGAAGTAGCGGAAACGTAAAAGTAACTAAACGAGAGTCACGGATTAGAGAACCAATTTTTGGCTATGCAGGAGTGGTCAATCATACGGATGAAATTTCCAAGGGCTATCAGACCCGATACCCGGCCAACCGTCAACGTCGTGATGCTCTCCATGTTGTGCAGAAACGACCGGCAACCCTTCGTTTGTCCCGTAAAAGGGGGCTCAGCAGGCAATAAATAGGAGAAAATCAGTGTCCCTATTTATAAATGTATCGCTCACAAAGATCGTCACCACTAGTTAAATGAACATCCAATCCAAATGCTCGGGCGATAAAGAACCTCAAGTCCATGACTGTTGTACTTCGTATTAGGAGATGTTGTACTTCGTATTAGGGGGTTGAAGGAAAGTATATTAAATTGGTCACCCTTTATTCGTTTGGATTTGAATATAAAAGTTGGCCGTGGTGAGCACTGAGATGCCTTATATCGAGTGTCAAGTTTCCAGTTAGAGCCGTGGAGAAGACCGACTACCCAGTATAGTCTCAATCTCTTGTCTTCACATCCCAGCAAACGACCCTGGTCGTGCCCATACCTCCCCAGGAAAAGCTATGTGACAGTACACATGGGGCAGTAGGCGGATGCCAAATCATACGACAAAGACCGGTTTACCTTGGGATGAAAGTCCTCAGATGAGTCCGCAGAGCTACTTTTCTCCTCTTGAGTAATAAGATTTGTACGTAGGAGAACTAACTGGAGTACAAACCAAGGAGTTGTCACTGCCTGGGCGATAAAGTATAGGTATACTAAAATCACATATGGTATCAAAGGCGAGTGAAGCAAAGGGCCGGCATGAAGAGATGGAGAAGAAGGAAAAGAAATGTTAGAGTAGAGGCCACCCGGCGAATGGCTTCACACCCAACTTGAAACTTGGAATCATCGTGACCATTCTGCCGAATTTTATGGCTCTTGCGGCGCCGCATAATACAAAAATAGACAAGCAAACATGACAGGCCAGGAATCTTTTGTTTAGCAAGCATTGCCAAATAGATATACTTCTCTTTGCGATAGCATGCACATATTTTCGCCAGACTGGTTGAAAACTGAGAGCCAATTCGGGTCCCAGTAAGCCTCTGCGAATCAATGCTTCACAGGTTCTTTTCTCCTTTAAAGAGTCAATAAAAACATTTTCTGCATTCAAGACAATATCCTTTGTCTTGCGCTTGAAATCGTACGCTACCAGGACCATTGTGGGGTAAACATTATACCAACAAGCCGAGATAAGACCATCAAAAACGTCATGACGGTTAAGTTCTGGGAATTCCATTTCCCAAAATCGACGATCCCATTCGGCGGCACTAAGGACCACATCATCATAGGGCTCATGGCCATATACCATAAAGTATAGAAGTGTTCCAACTGCAAACTGTTCAGTCCGAGCAGAACAGAGTCCGTAAGTGCCTTTTAATGGTCCAGCAAGTATTGGTCGGGCCCGTGGAGGCAAGGTACCCTCAAGTAGCTGCCCAATGGTAGTGGCACGGCCAAAATCAGTCAGCTTTAGGTTGAAGTTCTCGTCAAGGAGATAGTTGCCCGCATGTAGGTCATTATGACAAAAGCCCATTTTCTCAACATATTCAAGAGCACAGGTAAGTTGTCGTATCCATCGAGCTATAAGGGCCGGATCTTCGTATTCCTTTACTCTAATTAAACACCCATGAATACCATTAACCGCTACCTCACGCTCCTGGCGTTCGTAGAAGCGAAGAGCGATTGCTTGATGCGTGCAATATGATAGAAAGATATGGTCCGGTAGCATGAGGAAACATTCAATGATATTTGAACATCGATCCTGACACCCATCAAGGCGTTTGAAAAAGGCAATCTCGTTGAGGAAAGGATGCTTCGCAGCCTCCTCTTCAGGGGTTCGGTCGCGACGAACAGTCTTCACAACGATGGTTGGAGTAACATGGAAGATATAAGCGTCCAGTCCACCACCAATCCAGTTATATTTCTCGAGAGTATCGGCGTAACGGAAGGCCATGGCGAGGTTGCGACACCTGTGATCATAACGCAATGTTGCAAGATTTAGCAAAGATATATAAACGTATAGCTGCAATTTGAGTAGTGGCACAATAGCTTGCCGAGAGCGTAAGATTGAGATTGGGAGAAAGGGAAGAAGTGGGCAGTTGGAAGAGCTGCCTGAAGATGCCGATGAGCCATCTTCAGACATTCACATCGTACGAAGCACTCTGTTCGAAAATTAAGAACTTGCTGGTGCCTACATAGTAAAGGTTCAAGACATCAGGCATTGGCAAGCCTCATCTGGGTATACGATGTTTGTGAATGCCTCTGTCAAGGTATGGATAATCGCCTCGTATTGAGCCGCCTTCAGATGATACATACTATGGTAGTATATTGGAGGCGGCGAAGTTGCCTTTGCTGTATCCAGTTAGCCCGTATTATATAATCTTATTAAGTAAACTAGTTATGGAAAAGACTATTAGTAATCTTTTGTAAATTCCGCTTTAGGAAAATTTGCCGTTCCGAAGTCAAGTAACGTGACATAATCAATAAGGTTCCAAAAATAGCATAAAGAGACTATCGTTCCTGGCTTGTCCGAGCTTCTTCCTTACTATTTTTAACATTATTCTTAAACGATATAAGGATGATACAAAACTCGAAAGATGACAACTATGAAGCGCAAATTTAACCAGCTGCCGGTTGTCCTTTTCATTACGGGCTATCTCGGTCGCGGCAGACATGTTGACTTGATAAAATATAACAGTGCACAGTTCAACGGAGAAGACGGATGGCGGTTGCGTTGGACTCCCCAGGTGATATAACGTGTGGGTGCCTGTGCAATATTGTGCTGCACATAGAAGTCTAAGCCTAGCTGTACGCAGTAGCAACAAGCGAGCTGGCCCAACTGCCCAGGCCACTCCGCGAGGATTATTTCTAATGACGAACAATTAGCGAACTCCAGCGCCTGAAAAGGAGTTGAAGCTACAGGGGCCAAGATGTAGGTTGAAACGAGAAGCGAGATATCTCCAAGGATAGAAAAGAAGGGTGTGGCTTGATATATGTAGTCACCTACATATATTAGAGCTAAGCCTTGTCTAGCATAGACATTTTATTCTCTCTTGATACCTATTGCTTGATCAAAGCCATTTGGAGATAGCCGGAAGAAGCTTCTCTGGGTTCGCTATGGTTGCTAGTTTCGTCGCTTCATCGTTGGCCGTTGGCCATAATGCTGTCAAATCTATACTCTTCCGAATCGCCGGTCTCTGCCTTCAGATAGGCGTTTTCAAGCTCTTTTCCCTTATCGCGTCGGCAAAAAATGCCTTTACTGCCTATTTGATGTTTACTGAGGATTATATTCAGAGGTCCATGTTCATATTCTCTCGCGGATTTACGCATCAAGCTGTTCTCGTCTTTTTCTTTACCATTCTCCTACTTGGCTCTGGGCTATATGACACACTGCTTTGGGGTCTAGATTTTCCCGGGTATATTTCACTAAAAAGTAACATCACAGCTTCCACAGTCAAGGATAACTTGCTCAAGAGGCCTGGATACGTGGTATTCTCCTCCACAAGACCAGAAGATCTCGACACGCTGGACCGCCATTTTACAGACAGTATGAACGCCAATTTGTTCCAATCGAATCTAAATTTCTCGTTGACTGGCCAAGTCAGCCTGGGGAAACCAGAAACAATCCCTCCAACCCAAAAGTTCAACCTAGCGAAGAACATAGGGCCACGAATATGGCTAGATAAGGAAGGATTTTCCGTGTCGCCCGATACGTACGTCACCACCAGCTCGATATCCAACCTCGAGACGAAGGAATACTACATTTGCCCTTGGGTCCCTCTGGTGGAAGATCAATCCGCGGCATGGGAATGCTCGTTCGACAATATCCACGCGGAGCAGCTTTCGCGAAGCCCACTCGGCCAACCGGAAATTCACTGGGATGATGTAACAGACCAGAACTATCTATCTCAGTATATGCGCCCAAACCGAGAGGACAACCCCTGGAGCTTCTTAGGCACCGGAGGCGACACTGCCATGATGAAACAGATGTTTACTGTCACCAAAGGCCGAAGAAGACATACCTTCCTGGATACTGCGATGAAAATATCGGCGGTTTACGACCACAAGCAGCCTTTCCCGAGGGATTCAGTGCATGATCTCGTCAAGAGGACCTGGTCTCTGGACCCAGCAACCTGGGATGACCCGCTTATCACCAAAATCACCGATAAGATTCAAGCCGGTGTAAGGAACAACACAAGTTTTCAATACGGCTCAGTTCAAAAAACTGGGAACTCCGTTTTGCAGTTCCACTACGAATACTTAAACCTCCTCGCGACTCAAGATGTGGTGGTCTTTTCGCTTTTTCGCATCTCGTTAGTCAACATTACCATCATTCGTTCGGAAACGCTGCCCGAACCTGTCAAGCCATTGGAGGCTTGTGATCACTACTACCATAATCGAGCATCAGGGGGCAAGTTATATGGCACGTCATGCTATGAACAAGGCACTATGAACGAGACTGGCGCACGCTTCTTTGGGCAGCTCGATTGCTCCTCTGTTCTTGTCATTGGCGGCACCCTTGGCGACGGTAGTTCCAACGTTAGCTCCGTAGCACTCAATCAAAAGGGCTTTGAATGGGTTGCAAACCACGGAGATACACTAGATAACCTCGTCCTATCCAGAGGCTATATAATGGCCATCGACCCGAGCCTTGTCACTTTAGAGACCAGCAAGGTGCAGGCAGCAATGTCACCCCTCCAGGTCCTGCTTTTTATATTGCCTGTCGTCTTTTGTGCTGCTGTTTGGGGCTGGCTATGGTTTTTTGTCGAACCACACTACTCTTCTTCGCTCCTTGCCAACCTCTATGCAACCACTGACATTGGAGGCACAAATACCAGTACCAATCCTGGATATATACAAAATATGCCTGATATTGATTTCATCAAGAAGGATGGGAAGGTACAAATGGCCACTGCAACCGGAGTTTTCGTTCATAGCGAGTCTGAAGCTGTGACGAATGTGAATATGGGTTACCAGAAAACCGACCCAAGGGGCTCATATACCCCTATTCAAGGTACAGGAAACGACGAATCTCCTACTCAAGTGTAATAGTACTATAGCTCTATACCCTACAAGCTTTGTTTATTGTACTAATATAATAAGACTGTTTTTTCACATAATTGATCTCTTCGACCGTAATATTAGCGACATTGTTGATTTATTTAAACGAGTATCTACGGTCTATTGAAGCCAACCTAGGGCAGATAAAAAATCTCTTTTCAAAGACTCTCTTCGACTTCTCGGACTACCTTCTTCACTCCCTCGATCTCATGGGCAAACCGACCCAAAAACATGCCATCAACTGCTTTACCAAGCCCTCCTTGTCCCCACAGGCCCGGCCCAGCGCTCCCTCCGTATATCACTCTCACCTCTCCTCTGCTCTTCCCGCGTACCCCATCAATTACCGTACGTATCCCCTGAACCACAGCTGCGATATGGTCCACGCCCGCCGGGACTGGCTTCCCAATTGCCCATACAGGCTCATAAGCAAAGATACACGGCGCATCTGCTGGAATCGCATCCAGCACGGCCCTGACCTGAACCTCACACTCCTTTACCGCCACTCCGACAGCCTCTGACATCACCGGGCCAGGGACGGGTATTTCACCCACACAGACAAGTGGGACCATACCCTGTGCACTCACAGCTGCAGCTTTGCGCCCGACTTGCTCATCCGTTTCCCTGAAGATTGCTCGACGCTCTGCATGGCCCAGCTCAACTATCGACACATCCATCGAGCGTAGACAGGAAGGTGAAATCTCCCCTGTATACGGGCCCGATGCCTCCCAGAAACAATCCTGGGCTCCCAGTAGGAAAGGAGGAGGGAGGGAAGGCCCGGAGTCAGGTTCCGTCGAGTGTGCGTTGAGCTTCGTTTCGAACTCCCGTATCACCTCTGAGCATGGATGAATCGTCAGGAAGTCGGGAACGAGGGCAAGCAGCAGTTTTGATCTGTTTCTTTCGCAGACTATCTCGTTCTGCGGATCTAGTAGTGCTCGTAGGTATTCCAGTGTCCGCTTAGGGGTAAAATACATCTTTAACGAGATTATTAGGAGTGTCTTGGGGAGTGCTGGGTATGTCACCCCTGATGTCGCCGGATCAGCCATGCTTCTATCCTTGCTCCTCTTCTCTTCTTCGCCGACTCAAGACGAAAAAGAAGAAGCACCCTTTTTTCATCCTCTTCTTCTTATGCTGCCATCGGCGTCGCTCCGCGGCTTCTTAACTACTAAGCCGGGAACAGGCTTTATCGATAAGCGGGTTTACTCGATGCAGTAACCCGGTGGCCATCTCGTCCATCTTCCCAAATGTACATCCAAGTCTTCTTCTCTTTGGTCGATTAAAGATGAAAGGGACACTTTCATTGTCTTCTGTGGCTGACGGCAAAAACTACCTACTCCTGGGTTGACGTTTGGGGTTCCACGTCTTGTCCACTGGCCAGCATGGAGGGTTTCATATGAGCTTGCGGTGCAACAGTTACTTACCTATCAGCATCCATTCGTTTGCCTCCATAACCAATAATCGGCCCATCTGCGGTGTTTGTCCGGTGGTACGGGATTATATAAACGACCTGGGTTAAAGTGAAAGTGGCAGTACTATGTGTATACATAGGCAATAACTGCGTACGCCTTCCGAAGACAACGTGAAGGTGGAGATGGGATTTTCATTTAGTTCTCCATACAACTCCACCTGCAAGCTCAGCATTCAGGGTGTAGTCCAGAGTACGACGGCTATTTTACTTTTTCATCTTTGGATACGGAGACAAAGATGACGGCTTAGTCCGCGAGATGAGGATCAAGTGTCATCTCATGTACCATGCCTCCGAGGGCGTTGCTACTGGCTGGCGCAGACATAAATACAACTAACGACCCCCTTCGTCTGTCCACTATTTTCCTGTGCCAGATATACAGCTCACTCCAATTCACATAAAGATCTTGATCGATCATATCGACACAACAAACAAACCTGAACAAAAATGGCCGCCTCACTCCCTCCACTCCGCATTGCCGTTGCCTGTGACGATGCAGGCCACTCCTACAAGGAAGCCATCAAAGCGCACCTAGAGAAAAACCCACTCGTTGCTTCGATAACGGACGTCGGCGTGCCCGCCCCAACCGACAAACGAGCCTACCCTCATGTCGCCGTCGAGGCTGCCCACTTGATCAAGGACGGAAAAGTCGACCGGGCCCTGATGATTTGCGGCACTGGTCTCGGAGTAGCCATTGCCGCCAACAAGGTGGCTGGAATCAGAGCCGTGACCGCCCACGATCCATTTAGCGTCGAGAGATCCGTCCTCAGCAACAATGCACAGGTTCTCTGCTTTGGCCAGAGAGTCATCGGTATCGAGTTGGCGAAGAAGTTGGTAGGCGACTGGTTGACCTACAGATTCGACGAGTCCAGCGCCAGCGCAGAGAAAGTTAAGGCTATCGGAGAGTACGAGGCCAAGTTCGGTGAATCTAAGCAATAGACGCCAACGATTTTTGTTTATTTTGGATATCTGGATATCTTCCCGGCGCTTCATCCATTTTGGCGCTCCCTTTTTTGAAATAAGCCTGTAGCGCTTGATGCGCATGTGTTAGAATCGGTTAAAAGCATACTATGTATATACCTTCACGTGAATTTATCTTTCATCCTTTAGCTCGCTTATTAGCCATCATTATGGAGTATTATTATTATTATTACTAGTATTATTAGAAGCACTATTATCAACGAATAATCTTTCCTCAGCTCCCAAGTCAAGACAAGAATAATAATTTGCGTCTTTATTCACTTATACCTTGTGGAGCTGTAAATTAAACTGATTCTCCTAACAGGAGATAGAGGCGTGGAACATAAGTCCATAAATATAGTTTATTCGTAGATGTATTCTACTTTATTGTAAATTAAAGCTACCAAGTCCAATGAGTATTTATTTCGGTAATTGTACACATTCCTTGCATCTCTGTCCCTGCGGAGTGGGCAAAGGCGAAAATATGCCTAACGGATTCCACACGGGAAGCTCAGCAAACAATCAAGACACAGGGAAAGGCCATACTTTGCGCCATTGCTCCCGTTTTGCCTCGTCTGACCCGGCCATGCGCCGCAAGAAAGCATCTCGGGACTCTCTTACTCGTTGCCTCATCGCATCGTACTCGTCATGACTCACGAAGCCATCCCAGCCGCTATAGACACCCAAAGATTGAACAACATCATTCATCAATTCGACCCCTTCTTGCCATTTTTGCAGGTTTTCCCGTTGTTTTATTCTTTCTGCCTCTGTAAAGTTAACCGGACAGGGAACTAGTGGCATCTCGGCGGTATTTTTTCCCACTATTTTACTCTATCTGTTTATCACTTGTATTAAGTAACTAAGGATTATCGGCTCTCTATCGGAGGAAAGAGATTTGGTGAGCCCCGTTACTCTGTTTATCAGTGTATTCTGACTATGTAACGCGGACTCTGCAGTTCTGTATTGCTGTAATAATTCAATTTTATATAGTACGTACAATGCTTGTTTATTTCGGAGCCTTTTGGCACAGACCTGTTCCTCTAGGCTCAGTTCGTCGAAATTTTCCGGCAGCCTAGGGAGTTTGAGTCTTTCCGGAATGGGACCATCAAAATCCAAGAATGCTGGGCGACGGACCTGGAGGAAAAGGGGTGCAATGTGAACAGCTTGCCAGTCAATCACACCAGTTATCTTGGTTGGATCTCGTGGGTCAACAAATATATTATCTGTGTGGAGATCAGGATGCCACAGTACAGCTTTACCGGCCTCTTTATTTTTGGGCAGGAGATAGTGTGATAAGGTCAAATATAGGTCTAACGCATGAAGCTTTGCAGCCTCTGACGGCTGATACTGGCCGAGCCCGTTGAAAATCCCTTGCAGCCGTGGAGAAGGACCTAAGGCGCCAATGGATTCACGTTCGCGCTTTGCATTCGCGATAATGTATTCTTCGGCTGAAGACCCTACATGGAGTTAATTGGTAGAATAAGAATAACGGTTCCAACCTGTTCATAGACTTACAAGGGCCGCGATCCAGGACTAGTGAACTTCTCCCGTCATCAAAGTACTTTCGGTTGTTCGTGGGACCGACGGTAAAGCCTCTCTTGTTCGCAGTATCACCATCGGAATAGTACAAGCTTCCATACTCGCAAAATGGGTTCTGTGCAAGAGATTTTTCGAACCGGACAATGTTCGCTACGACCTTTGACTTTTGCATGACCTCCATCTCGTCCCAAAACCTGGAGAGCTGAGCTCCGGGGACTTTCTCCATGATGATGTACTCCGCGCCGACTGTGCTTCTGCTCGCATCGGAACACCACGCGTATACGTTTGGGGCTGGTATATGCAAACGGTTCCTGACCTAAGATAAACCCAACAAATGAGTCGGGGGAAGACACTCCAGTCTAATGAGCAAACTACTCACAAAGTCCATCGTGGCGACCTCGCTGGATGTCACAAAGTGAGCACGTCCGGCATTGGGATTGGGTATTTTTGCAATGACCTCCTTCCCATCATCCATGGTTAGAAGAAAGACTTTATTGAAGTTGCCTTCTGTCAGCTTTGTGATGTCGCTACACGAGCGAGAGCCGACAGAGTCTGCTGCCACCTGGCAAAGAGCGCCAACATTGAACTTCACATAACGAGCCGACAAGTGCGTTGCTTCGTTCCAAAGCCACCGCCCCGTTGTATATTGGAAAAGCAAGTCATGGTTTTGGCCGTCTTGGTGGTTGACGGTCATTGAAGGATGGGCGTGAAAATTAGCACGAGAAGTCCACGAGAAGGGTTTCCTTCCAAGTCGACTGGAAACCAACACGCTGTGTGAAGAGAGGATGCTGCCCAGCCAGCTTCTCCGAGAGAAGACGGACATGGCAGACAGTTGCTGGTGGAATAACTCACATCGCACTCGACCTCGACAAAAGCGAGCCTGTAGTTGTCTACAGGAGGCTTCTGGCCAAGGGTATATTGCCGGAGCGATTGATGCTGCTTGATGCGGCTCGTAAGGGTATCCCCTTTAAGGTGATCTTGGGTTTAGACTGGAATGTTGAGGCGTCAAAGAGGAAGAATACATGGTATTCCTAAGAGGATAAGTTGAAAAATCTCGTAAATAATATCAGAATCAAACAATGAAGACAAAAAAAAGACGAAAAAACATACGAAAGTCGGGATTCGCTGGTGGTCACCCACCCAACTACTAACCGACCGGCAAGTGGCTTAAGTACAGCTGAGCGGACGGGAAGCTCTGTTTTCCACTTCCTATGTTCGTATGTACCAGACTTAAAGACGAGGGGGTAGATATAGGGGAGAAGAAGTAGCTTAACATGATGCTACATAGTAAAAAAGCCCTAGACGGATTATGATAAATCCGCATTCCTGGCAATTGTGCGCGGAAAATAACAAAGCCAGGAACGGATCCAGCTTTGCTGATGAGAAGCTATAGATAACCGACAGCTCACCTTGCAGCCAACATGATTATAAGACAGCTACGCTTTGGCTCAATACCAATGGCCGGTTCCCGCGCTGTCGCAGCATGCTCTTGCTCACGATCCCACATAATACGGAGCTACTCCCTGCCCCAGTCTCAGCGGCTGAGCGCCAGAAAGGCATCCACCGCCGCAGGTGAATCCCAGGCGAGCACGACGATAAACGTGACGCCGAAACCAAAACGAAAGTCGAGGGGAACTGTCTGGACTGCCCTCGTTGTGGTTGGGTTGGGTTGCGGATATGTTTACATCACAGATACAAGAGCCGGAGTACATCAATGGCTGGTGCCGCCCATGCTGCGATGGATATATCCGGATGCGGAAGATGCTCACCATTTTGGAGTCGACATGCTTAAATCGCTATACCGATATGGCCTACATCCGCGTGAGAGAGGGAATCCCGATGGAGACGGTAAATTGGTAACCAAGGTTAGACAGAGCATGCCGGAGCGGACCCTTGTATTGAACCACAAAGATTCTCTGCGTATGCTAACCGTGTGTCGTGATAGGTGTTTGGATATACATTGTGCAATCCAATTGGCATCTCTGGCGGCCTTGATAAAGACGCGGAAATCCCATCCCAGCTATTCGAACTTGGGCCAGCGATTGTCGAAGTGGGAGGAACTACGCCTCTTCCACAGGCAGGAAATCCGAGACCGAGAGTGTTCCGTATACCTTCACAGAACGCGCTGATCAACCGATATGGGCTCAATTCGAAGGGCGCAGATAACATGGCTTTGCTTCTCAGGCAGAGAGTCCGTGATTTCGCTTACTCGGAAGGCTTTGGCTTGGGAGATGCTGCTGAGCAACGGGTTCTGGATGGAGAGGCTGGTGTCCCTCCAGGAAGCTTGACAGAGGGCAAGCTCCTTGCCGTACAAGTGGCCAAGAACAAAACTACCCCTGATGGTGACATTGAGGCCATCAAAAGAGACTATGTCTACTGTGTCAACCGACTTGCGAAATACGCTGATATACTGGTCGTAAATGTCTCCAGTCCCAACACCCCAGGACTAAGGGATCTGCAGCGTGTCGAACCGCTAACAAAGATCTTGACCGGCGTTGTTCAGGCGGCAAAGCAAGCTGACCGCCAGACTAAGCCGTTTGTGATGGTAAAAGTCAGCCCGGATGAGAACTCAGACGAGCAGATAAGCGGTATCTGTGATGCCGTTACCAAGGCCGGAGTCGACGGCATTATCGTTGGAAATACTACTAACAAGAGACCCGAAGCTTTACCCAAGGGCTATACCATGTCCAACACGGAGCGAAACACTCTTTTTGAAACAGGTGGGTTTTCCGGGCCACAGCTAATTGACGGTACAGTGGCGTTGGTTGCAAAATACCGAGCTGAGCTTGACCAGCGCGGTACCCCTACAGGACCGGCTGTGGATGAAGAGAGTGTGCCACCGACCGATCCCACACTCAGCCAACCTCGAAAAGTTATCTTTGCTTCTGGGGGTATTACCAACGGAGCACAGGCGCTTGCAGCAATCAATGCGGGTGCTGATGTGGCTATGCTCTATACTGGTTTGGTGTATGGTGGAAGCGGGACTATCACCAGGATGAAGGAAGAAATGCGGGCGGCTATAAAATCTACCTAAAAGACCACCTAACTGCTGAGATGGCTAGATGGCCTGTCGTTGAGTGGTAGCTGATATAGAAGTGGCTTGCCCTGTCTTGCCTTGTGCACCAAGTGTTGTATTGTACATCCCAAAATTATATAGATAAAATTCTATACTATATGCTCAGTTTATGGAAGATACGTAATGAGGGCATCTATAGTAATAGAGCCCTTAATCAGGGGTCAATAGTAGGGTTGAACTGAGTTGAGATGCATAGTCAGTATGTAACAGACATCAGAAATCTAGGTCTGCTAGCCCTTCTCCTTCAACATATGCCAGACCATAACATTCCCTCCTCACAGCGTCCAAAACCTCCCTATCACCGTTCGTCAACCTCTTTAGGTATTCCTCCAGAATATAGATGTTGTCCGTCCACACTTGTGCCTCTTGTTTCCACCTTACAATATCGGCCTCCTTTTGCGCAATGGAACCTGCTCCATCCCCTTGAACACGCTTCTTGATCTCAGTTTCCAGACAGGCAGTTTTGATTTCAAGTTCCTCTTTTTTCTGCATTAACGCCATTCTTTCCTTCTCGTTCTCCTCCCGAGTCCCGTTCTGATTCCTTTCCTCTTCGAGACGTTGTTCTTCCTTAAGAGTGTTGATCCTGGCCTCCAACTCTCCTGTAGATTTCTGTATTTTCTCCACCTCCTTGCTCAAGCCGTCAATCGTTTTCTCGCGAGCCTTCTTCTCCTCACCACCCCAGGCCCAGTACCAATTCCCACTCCCAATCTTCTCCACGTGGAGTTGGCCTTCGTCGGTCAATGCTTGGATGTGGTCCTTTACTTGCATGCCGTTGATTGAAGCAACGGGTGGGAGTGTCCTTTCTAAGTCTTTGAGGGTATGACATGTCCGTGATGCTTGGAGGTAAGCTAAGATGCGACGTTGCTTCTCTGCAGCCGATATCCCAGCTTTTGGTGCCTGGTAAGATGGTACCGTCAGTATGACCTAACCCGGCTAGCCCTTAGAAGAACTAACCATTGTAACTGAGTGTCTTAGTTTTTAACACTGGTATTTATCCTATGTGTAATGGAGAAAACAAAGATATCTTCAACTGTGTGCAGACTATGTCGGTGGGAGTGTACGCGTGGTAGAGGAAGAAGAGTCGTGGTTCACTTTAACTTGGTTCTTCCACGACATCGAGACAGAACAACAACCGCCTATGTCCAGCACCTTTCCCCGCAACACCGCTTGTTTCTATTTTACTCTGTATATGAAATGGAATCAAATATCACAGAAGTAGGTATTATGATATCTTAGTGCCCATAATTTAACTACAGGCGAAACAGGCCACAGTAGACTGAGATATCGTCTCAACGGGCGATGCCTATGATGTCAATCCACTCTTCCTTGCTCATGGTACCATCTTATAGAAGCACTATATGTGGTGGAGGGGTATCTAAGACGCTCTGAAAGCTTCTAAATACAGATGAACCTGGGACGCAGCTCGCCTAGGGTATTGTGAGCGTCGTCGGTGATGCACGCAGTATACAGGAGTCATGTAGTTGCGGTGTATCAGGAAGTAAGACCGTCTACTTCCTACGGAGATAAGTTCCTTTCCACGTATGAGAAGGTTCCATCCAAAAATTGGGTAGAGGCTAATATCCTCGTGGATAGATGTTGCTTAGCCTGAAGTTGTGATTACGAGGCCGCTGGCGATTGACTAATTGATCTCTCTGAGCCAGGCTGCGTGGCTGATAAACTATTCAGCCGACGTCGTTTCCTGTTCCTTTGTCGATGCGCCAGTTTCGGAGTATCGCCATCGAAGCCTCCACTGCTATACCCGTCGACCCTAGACCGCGTACTAAAGGCAGAAACGGATGTTTGGCGAGATCTCACAGAGGACACTTCCGCTGCAGACTCATAATCACTGGCCACCTCACCCTCTACGAGGGCCATATCTCCCGTTTCCTCAAGAGCTTCGACGGCTGCCTCTTCGAGCAAAAACCCCAGAGCGATCAGAGCAGTTTCGTCCATGCTACGCCATGCAGACCGACCGCAATCCACTGTTCTGTTTGCATACAAGTCCGAAGTATACGTATGAATAGCCTTTAGCAAGTCGGAGTCTGGCAAAGGCTGATCATCGGGGATGTTTTCGTTGGCAAAATAGATATCATTTTCCATGTACCTTATGGGGGCATTTTGTTTCCGAAATAAAACTTCCTCCGGTGCTACAGCTGGGAAAATCCGTGTTGACGAGATACCACTGTAGTCGTTAGCAAGAGATGAAGACTTGTTAAGGGATTTATCCGTTGCGATGCGCCCTATTTAAACTGTTAATTATTGGTTGGAAGATGAAGGCCTTGCTTTTAAGATAATACTTACCTGCAACAGCATCATAAACATTTGCATGCCGAAACTTTGGTCCCTTTCTTAGGTTGGCGCCCATCACCTCCCCTTGTTCTACTGGTTCAACTTCCATTCCTTCGTCCATCGTGGTGATGTCGTTGTGTTTGTCTTCTCTCGAGTTTCTTCGTCTTCATCCGCTAAAGAGCGCCAGCTTAGTCATCCACATCAGGCTCGACATCGCCCTTGAGCCGCATCTTGGGTCAAAGAAGGTCAACTAACTTAACAAGAGCTGGTATTATATTCAGATGAATGAATTCATATATCTTTAATAGATCTCAAGGATCTATCCGTCCTTATCAATTTCATGTTGCTCAATGTACTCGTCTTGTCCATGACCTCGCGCCTGCGCCAGGCATCCGCTTCTCGTCAGACAAGCAAGGGACCACGGATGCCGCTGAAGACAGACATGCTTTATACCCTCCTGAGTTGAGTTCTGAGGACGTCTGGGCGCATAAAGCTGGAGTAAATGTTTTGGCAATAGACCAGTATGAGAAACGGTAGTATGTTTAACCTTGGGTGTTGATAACGATCTTTCAACTTCATTGGTATGAAGGAGAATATATGTTCGGCGAATGGCTAAGAGAAGCAAACTTAGCATGATCTCGGGCGGTGCAGATACTTCTATCCATTTATGGGATTTAGAAGGTCGAGTGACGGAACTAAGCTTCCTTCATAAACCTGTTGCTTCTGTCTCCAAGTAAGCTCCGCCCAAGATCTTAGGCCATATCTTATTCCCCGTCACTTATAAATTTCACATTATAGACAAACGAATGCTTCAACTCATACGCATGCATTGACATCTCTCTCACTATATCCATTTGACCCAACTCCATCAACAATCCTAACCACGTCGCATGACGCTACACTCAAGCTGTCCAGCCTGGGGGAGTCCGATATCACTCCCGTCCACACATTCAACCTTCATTCAACCCCCTATTCTCATTCATTATCAGCCCACCAGGCGTCTCATTTGCTTATTGCAGTTGGCACATCGGAGAGTGCTGTACGATTACTAGACCTACGTTCGGGATTGTCAACCCATGCTCTCCCTGCTCACACAGGGGCTGTGGTTTCCGTTGAATGGGCGCCACATAATCCCCATCTGATCGCATCGGCATCAAAGGATAACAGAGTTATTATTTTTGATGTCCGGCGGGGAGGCCGCCATGCAGCAATTGCCTCCTTGGACATGGATGATTCCAGTGGTGTCCTACCTCCTGGAGACCCCGGAATCCTTCAAAGCAGGAAACCATACAGTTCTAGTTCCCGTGCCCATAACGGTACGGTAACTGGGGTTCGATGGACATCAAATGGAAGCCATATATTAAGCACCGGCCAAGATTCACGTATTCGTGTATGGGACGCTTCAACCGGGGCCAACACGCTCGTTCATTTCGGGCCTCGCATCCGAAACAGCGCCTCCCTGCATCTTGCTGAGCGAGCGCCACTTATTCTCCCTGAAAATAACAGCGCTATGATCCTTTCCCCAGGTCATGAAGCGCTTCTCTGGCCGAATTACAACGATCAGGACGACCGGGGCGAAATCTTCATGTTTGAAATTCGTGACGGTACATTGATCAAACACCTACGTGTACCAGGCTTAATATCTAGAGAAAAATTACGAGGAAGGCCTACTGCCCTGAGCGCCGCGAGAATTAATGCCCTTGCCTGGCGGGGGAATGGTGCTTCTGGGGAAGGGATGGAACTATATTCAGCTCATGGGGATGGCACAATTAGAACCTGGACTTCCCGAACACAGGAAGATGAAGAGTTCGAGGCGGAATCAAATGAGAACGAACGAGAAGAAAAGAAGCGGAAAAGGAATATACTTGATGAGGTGTATCGGGGTCTAATGCAACCCGGTATCACTTTCACCTAGGATATGAAACCTTGATATATACATTGTGAATGTAGAAAGTAATTACGCACCTGCACTTGCATCAATCAATCCAACCTTTAAGAAGAATATACAAAAAATAAAAATAAAAAAGAACGAGATATGATCGACGCAGGGATCGAACCTGCGATTTTCCGCGTAACTTTGTTTGTAAAGCGGACGCCTTAACCACTGGGCCAGTCGATCCACATACTTATGGAATTACGGAAAGTGGCTACTGAAGCCGAAGGGGATATAAGCTTAGTAAGGTCACCCTTTCCTGCTAGCATTACATAGAAGGTGATATCAAAGGCTTTGTATTGTACGGAGTACTCCGTACAAAGTTACTCATTAGTTTTGGGGTTAATGACAGGACTTGTCAAGCAGCTTGGGACATAGTACGGGTCTGATTGTCAAAGACCTGCAGCTTTGCATAATCAATAAATTACGATGGAGTGCATAGTGGAACGGCATATCTTATTCAGAGATGTGAAACACGGCTTATGTGGAATTTGTTCCTTTAACAATGTTTTTGTCTTTATTTGTTGCCTGTGAAGGCTTTGGCTAACTAATGTTAAGCTAAGTGTAAAGGGACTTAATCCCCTTCCGCATCCTTGCAGATGTTCCAAACCCACATATGTCTATCCCCAATGACCAAACGATGCATAAAGGTATCTCAGCTTAAATATACATGGAATAAGAGGCAAAGTAAGCAGGGGTCAGGTGTCACAGGGCAAAATAGAGACAGTGCCCTCCACTATCCTTCGTTAAAGGTGCGCCCATCGCTATGCAAAGCAGAAAAGGGGCCGATTGCTTTGGGCCCCCAATAATAGAATTAGCCCTTGCAGATTGAAAACGGCCCCCAAACTTATGCAGTCTGGGGCTTAGCCACCCACGGGAATGAAATTGTTTCAAACGCTAAAGATAATTTTTTTCCAGGCCAGTGCTGGTTTGCGAGGGAGTTGTGTTAAGCTGAAAAAAGGGGTATATTGAATAAAAATTATGTATATAGAAGGATTCATCATAATGCCTTG